TGAAATACCAGTTAGTGGACACTAGCATTGCATCAATAGTGTAGTACTACTGTAATACTAAGCCAATATCTGTCGGCAGCGCTCTAAAGTGTTTACTTTTCATCTCTGCTTTTTGACTATCTGTGACTTTTATTTTATTTTTATCGCCGTATTCTACGTTCCATTACAATAAACTACAATCAGCTTCAGTCATGAGCAACACACGCTGTTTTCTGCAAACACAATTATCAGCAGTTTCCTCACAGCAGTGTATTGCAATATTTATTAAGTTTAGACGATAGGAAATTGAGGATTGTCGAGCAGATTAAGGGAAATAAAAAAGCATTTGTAGGCTGTGACAGCAGTAAGTATTTCTTCACTTTTTCAGCACTTACAAAGGGAGCTTTAGGGTGGATTTCATCTTCAGCTACTTCTTATAATTCTCATGAATATTATTATAGCTGTCATCTTTTTGTGTTCATATAGTCTTTTTACTGATAATTGAATTCAGATGAAAGAAACTGCAGTGCTTTGCTTAATGGAGGATGATTTCACGCTGCATTACGTTTTAAAGTAAGCTTATAAAACAAAGTGTCTCACACAGCTGTTGCAAGAAAAAACAGCTTTTTCCAAAGGACAACGATTGGAGTGAAGCAGCTACTAAATATAAATATGCCTGCAAGGTGTTTTTGTATTCTCTTTGTGTGATGAAAGGGCTTTCCTCTGAATCACCATCAAGCTGCTGTCTCCACTCAGCGCTGCTCTCACCTGCCACGTAGAAGTGATGAATCTCACTGGATCAGATCCACATTTTCTTTGGACTCTTGCCAAAGTCACAACACTGTAATCATATCAGTCCAGTCACAATCAATAAGTGCAACATATTTCCCCGGATCACACACACTGTACACACTGTACACACTGCACACACACACACCTGGCCCTCACTCCCTCCCATCTTCTTTCTGCTGACAGGAGTCACAAGAACTTCCTCCTCCGACGTTTCTAATCAGCATTTGGCTGTGCAATTAGCATAATTTTACATTACATTTATTGTCTTCTGTTTGCTATTGTAGTAAAGTGTTTTTATTGTATGTACAGCACTTTGGCTCAACCAAAAATCGTTTTAAAAATGTGCTATATAAATAAAACTTGATTACATGTTAGACGCTTTTATCCAAAGCGACTTACATACTCAATACTGTGGGCAATCCCCACAGGAGCAATTTCGGGTGAAGTGTCTTGCCCAGGGACACAACGACATGCTGACTGCAGTGGGGTTTGTACCTGCACTAGACCATTGCGCCACATGCCTCCCATGCATATGTAATTTCATTAACATAGCGGCCCAGACACTCTGTAAAGCTGTTAATTGAAGTCTGTGTGAAGTGTGTGGGATGCCACGGCGCCCCGTGTGTCGGTGTGCGTGTGTGACAGATGGTTTGGGGAGTCTCCACTGAGCGATACTGGGAGCTTCAGAGCAGGAGACGTGCGGCAGAGCGGGGGGAATACTTACGTGTTGTTTTCACAGCCTCTTATAATGCCTCTTTTACTGCAGCCGTTGTGGACACTTTGGTTTTATTACAACATTTTAGCACCTCGTGAAGTCATTCTTTACAAAGTTTGTGGAAACATTTGAATGATACAGTATTATCAGTACAAATAGCCAATTGTAATGCTTTTGGGGAAAAAAGTAAACACAGAGCCGTTTTTGCTGATGTCCCTCAATCCATTGACCTTTTTAATTATTAGCTGTAATTCTTCTCATGTTATGGGTAACAAAAGTAAACAATGTGGAATCATGTTACGTTTAATATACTAGGCAAAGGTTAGCTATACCAGAAACAAAGGAATTACATGAAATTCAACTTCAAATACAAGTTTACCATATTTAATAATAAGTTATAAAACATGATTTGTATAATTCACAGTTTCAAAATGTAAGAATAATCTTGATGCAAACTGAGTTTAAATAAAGCTGTGTAGTGTTCAATGTGTATAGAGATATAATAATTTCATGCAGAAAACCGTTTTAATGGTTGCAAAGACATCACTTTCACAACCTCCCCTCAGAATCACTGGTCTACAGCATTTTGCATTATTATTTTTTCGTCTCACATTTGTCTTCAGCACTTGACAGCAGTTTATGAGATTTTAACAATATATTTGAATGGCCTGTATGTAATTCAATGAATAGGAAAATAACTGTAGGTATAGGAGATCCAAATATAACTGAAATGTGTAAATGCATCAGGCCCTGAATATCAACGACTGAACCATGTTTAAATGTGGTAAATTCTCATACAGTAAGTGTACAAATGCTAATGCTGCTACGTGCTGTTTGTCCTGCTGAAGCTGGGGTGATGTCAGAGCTGCAGACTCCAGTTCATCTGCAGTCGTGACCTCATTTAATCTCCGAGTTGTACGCATCCTCTCAGCGAGGCTGCCTCACAGCCGGCCAGGATCAAAGAGAGATTGGTAGTGAGTCAGTCGTCCTTTATTCCGCTTTGGAAAGATGTGGGGAGCAGTGAGAGAGGAAAAAACACATGAGTGGTGGGAGTATTGCTTTAACTCATCCCTCTGCTTTCATTCCTTTCATCTCGTACCTCGTTTAACCTTTTTCTCTACTTAGTGTCTCACACCTCCGTCTCATTCCTCTCTACTTTACTACCAGATTTTCATTTTTGCTTTTTGGTCTTTCGCCTTTATCACTCCCCTCTTTTGACATTTGATATATCCATCATCGTCCTTCCTCACTTCCCTGCCAAAAACTCTCCCAAAACCTCTGAGGTCTATGTGTCATCCATCTTGGGGTTTTAGTTGATTGGCTGCCTGCCTCTCTCCACCATGTGTCATCCCCTCCATTAACCGAGATCAGAGATAAATGTCCCTAATGTCAAAGTAAGAACACACCCATTTCTTTCTGTCTCCATAAAATGTCAAATCTTTTGAAAAAGCTGTTTGCCTGAAAGCATCCTGTGTCTTTTCATATCTGCGTTACAATCATTGGAATCTAAATGTCTTTATTTCACATGTAGAGAGGAGAATTTCCACACATGAATACATACATGAATTTGAAAATCCCCCACAAGAATTAAATATCTGTTCCCAAAGCTTAATGTGGAGAAAAGGAAAACAGCAGATTATGCATTTCAATTAGTTCATTTATTTAAATGCCCTAAAATATGTAATGCGTTTATTAGTGGATGACAGTATTACTTTAGGACTTAATGATAACGCCTGGGTGTTGTGATCACCTTCATTAACATTTTAAATTAGGCATTATAGTCAAAATGAAAGAGACAGTTTTGTAATTTCACTGCCTCAAGAGGCTTAAGTCATTGTATTTTAAAAGCTTGATATTATTCATTGCTGGCTCATTTCCGGTGTGAAAGAACAAAAGTGTTGACCAATGGCCGACAGATTCACTTGTGATCATAAACACACGGTAGAAGTTTTGTAGGAAGAAGTCTTTGCTGTGTTTGAATCATAGTTCTTCCATCAGTAATAAAGCGTATGCAACACTTTGACACTTGTATGCAAATCAGTGGGAACGAAAATCAAAGAAAGGGGAATATTGCAGAGGTGTGGAGAGAGCAGCTTTTGGTCCTTGCAGGATCCTGACACTGAAATTCAATTCCAGCAATGTGACTCAAAGTGAAGAAAGAAGAAGAAATGAAGCAGGAAGAAATACAATGGACTCGGAGCAAAAGGAAAAGTCATGAATGGAAGTCAAAAATGGGAAATACACAGAGACAAATATGCATTTGAACACATGCAGACACACATGGTACGTAGCACACAGACTGCTTCCTACCTCATTCACACCAACGCAACTCCGGTTCAAGCTCTGTGCTAGAGCTTTTCAGGTTCAGAACCGGTTCTTCGGTTTAGCTCCGGCTCTTTTCACACTGCCCAGAGTCCGACTGGTGCTGCGTCATTGCGTCATCGTTTGTGCCATGACGTAACCGTTTGCGTGCCTGCTTCATAAAGCCAAATCGCGCGGAAACCCCTCTGTACCTCTTCGGAAGACCAGATTCCCAGTAAGTAGTAGGTCTCTTCAGTGGACCACTGCTGCTTGTTAAGTTTCTCCATCGTTGTGTACAAGCTGGATAAAACGCGGGCTTCTTGTTGTTGTTCAGGAGTTGATCCCGCCCCTGCCCCCGCCTCGACGTAAGCGTGACGTATGCGGTGCTTTTGCTCTGGCCGGACAATTTTTTTGGTGCTTGAAACGAACCGGATTCCGGAGCTAAGAGGCTGCTCCACTGCGGTGTGAGCAGGAAACCCCGGTGCTTTTCAAGCTCCAGCCCTGAACCGGCCCTGAAACACCGTTGGTGTGAATGAGGTATAAGTGGATCATCAAAGAATCAAAGGCAGACGTGTTTGAATGAAAGCCTCTGTTCTTTATTCATCCTGAGACTCCACAGGATGGAAGAGAGCGGTGAGAGTTTCACTGCTGATATGAATCTTTTGCGTTGCAACTCTGTCCTTTTCTTTGGGCTTCTCCTGTCGTGGAAAGAGAGTGAGGAGAGGAAGATTGAATGCAGAGAGGATGAAAGGGAGATGGGGAGGAGGAAAAGGTGGAGGGAAATCTGAAGCAACAGTGTGCGTGCGTGTGTGTGTGTGTGTGCGTGTACGAGTGCGTTGGAACATCTAACAGGAAATGTGTGCTGTGTCATATTATTGTGTAACGCTGAGCCACTGAAATAAAAAACACACAGACCTCAGCTCATGAACACACACACACACACACACCTCGCAGGAAGACCGTGATTGAGGTGAAAGAGCATTGTGTTTCAGAGTTGGGTGTGTGTATTAACATTTCTCTTGTTTTTTGTCCCCCTGTCTCTTTCTATTCAACCCTCTGCTCCCTTTACATCTTTTGGCATACCACATGTTTTCTCATCCTTCCTTCTTTGACTCATTTATTCTTTACCAATGTTTGCGTCACCACCTTCTTTTCTCTCTACTCCATTCCTTTCCTTTATTTCCCTCCCTCCCTCCTGCTTCCCGGGACCCAGAGAAAGGTAATGGCTCTTTCTGGTGTGTTTGATTGTGATCGTCGTGCCTCTCCATTGTTTCAGTAATTGTTTTGCCAAGACCCCCCCCCCCTCCAACCCCCCACCCTTGTGCAATCACATACTGTATGTCACCTCAGGTATCAAATCAGTAGCTTTGCCTCGCCCAAAGTCACTGTTGCTCGTTCAGGAGTACAGCACCAACAAAGGTCTAAACCTGGTGTTAAATCATCAGCGAGCCACACTGGTTGTTTCCCCATCAGGAGATGCTTGATGTTTAATAGCAGTCTGATCCCCCAGAGAGCGAGCAGGAGTCATAAAAGAACCATTTGTAGTGTGCAAGGCAAGGCCACTCCTGCTGTTTTGGTGACACACTGCCTAAATGTCCGTGAAGGAAGCGCACTGGATACACACACTTGCACACACACACACACACTTACTCAAACACATCATTTTTCTGGCCACAGGCACAGAGCAATATCGATCCAAATTGTGTGAGCACACAATTAAGCAGAGGAGACAGTCCAGTTAATGGACTCGTAAACACAAAGACGGCGCTGTGATAAATGCTGTTTGTGTTTGCCGTATTTCTGTGTTTGTATTCGGGAGGGACAGAAAGAGAGTGTGTGTGTGTGTGTGTGTGTGTGTGTGTGTGTGTGTGTGTGTGTGTGTGTGTGTGTGTGGTGTGTGTGTGTGTGTGTGTGTGTGTGTGTGTGTGTGTGTGTGTGTGTGTGTGTGTGTGTGTGTGTGTGTGTGTGTGTGTGTGTGTGTGTGTGTGTGTGTGTGTGTGTGTGCGTGCGTGCGTGCGTGCGTGTTGGCTTGGCTTCATCTGGCAACCCTGACATGGACTCCTCTGCATGCGCCCCGTGTTCATGTTTACTAAAACACTTCAGGAACCTCCTACCTCAGTGTTCTGCAGCTTGACGAACCCGATAATGAGGAAGAAATGCATCCATCTTTCATCTTCTGTGTGTGCATGTGTGCTGTCTCTTCCACGTGTAGCTTTGATTCGTATACCACCCACTTTCTGCAGAATGCTTCGTCTCTCAGTCAGTCTCACCGCGCCTGGCACATTGTTTCCTGGGGCACTGGGACACACATCTGCCTGTGTGTGTGTGTGTGTGTGTGTGTGTGTGTGTGTGTGTGTGTGTGTGTGTGTGTGTGTGTGTGTGTGTGTGTGTGTGTGTGTGTGTGTGTGTGTGTGTGTGTGTATTTCATTTGTAGCCCAAAATCAGTTCAGGTATCACAGCAACACCAGCTAAGCTTATGGCAGCCTGCAAGTGACAAATAATGAAGCAAAATGTTTCACGATAAATGAGGGCGCTAATGAGAGAATTACGTAAATGTATCATGATGCAAAATGGAGTAATTGTGACTTGCAATCCATTTCAGTGTCTCTTTATTCCATTGAAGAATAGCTGACAACGCAAACAGGTGCAGAGTGGGGGCGGGGGACAAGTTTGAGTCTCGAAGACCAAGGACAGAACAAAATATGAGAATAAAGATGTCAAACCCGCTTTAATGGAACAGTAAATGATAATGGGAGTGAGAATAAAATGTGGACTCAAAACCTTGAGAGATTTCAAATGGACAGCAATGTGTTCATATATTGAACTCAAGCCTAAGGGAATGTAAAATACAAATTGGCAATCATATCCACATACTGGCCCTAAGAAAGGTGGTTTCATCTTAATATCCAACCATTTCAAAGGTGGCTCTCCAAGGAGTGATGCTGGGAGGCTTTGAGATGAAAACTGTACTCTATCTGCTGCACAACCAGCAAGTAGCAGATATTCAGTGCATTCATATTAAGTGGATACAACCTGACTCTCCCACATTCAATATATGGAATGAAGTAGTGTTATCATTTGGAACAAATGTTGTTAAGGCAAATTTACAAAGAGATTGAATTCTGCGATGGCCTATTCACGTTGAAGGGATAGTTGTACTGACTTAAACCTGAATCACCCACGGCTTGTCCCTCGAGTCTTCATCTTCAGATACACATATACACACATACCTCATGCTTTACATGCTACAATAATTCCCTTGTTAGGAAGGAAGACCCCTGCCTGCTTTTTTCTTGATTGTTTGTATTTCCCATTTCTTCTTCAAAACGTTTCTCTCTCTGTTAAATTAGATACCTATATTGGTTTGTTTTTTGCTTCCTTTGACATGCAAGCTGTGCAGTTAGAAAATGTGTAAAGAAATAAGCATACATGCTGGTGAGGCCTAGTATACTGAATTACCTTTCTTATTGGACACCAGAGAACCTTATTACTGCCTCTTTAACAAAACCAAATGTGTGGTACATCAGCTGTAAAGGTCCATTTGGTTTATTTCTTAATGTGTCTTCTCTCCGTGTTTTGCAGGGACTTTGCCTACGTGGCGAGAGACAAAAACACGCGGGTGCTGAAGTGCCACGTGTTCAGATGTGATACTCCTGCCGCAGCCATCGCCACAAGTCTCCACGAAATCTGCTCCAAGGTGGGTGTCATTACCTTCGCATGAATGAGCCTATCTGCTGCTCTGAAGCACGTTATGAGGCTTTAATCAGGGTTTCTATTAAAGATATTCTGATGGAGTTATTCAGAGGTACTTTTTTGAAATAACTACTCCTACAGGCAAGGTATATCAACCTTATAACCAGGATTGGAAAACATAGTGCCAATACACGTTTCTGTTATCTTTTACCGGAGAAGTAAGAGGAGAGACATGGAGGAAAGTTGTAAGAGCCTATACAGCAAGGAAAGGAGATAAGAGTCACATTTCAGAGCAAAAAAGTCTGTTCTATATATATAATACCAAATACTTGGCATACAATACAACAGGATCACATCCTATTTACACATTTTACACATTGGTGATGATTTACTAACCCTGACCCAGTAATCAGGAGGTTCGTGCACAGAGTACTACAGGATGCTGAACATTTCTTTTATATTATATACTGTCACTCAATTTTACATTTTAAATTCGAATTACACTCTTTGTGGACACTATCCTGTGCTATTGTGTACTTCAATGTTATTACTTGGCTGCTAAAACACCTGAATTTCCCTGTAGGGATCAATAAGGGTTTATCTTATTAGACCAAATCTTTCCAAAATACAACAATTCCATATGCTTCTAACCTTTTGAATATCTATTAAAGGGGACCTGACATGCAAAATGCACTTTGTGATGTATTTTATACATAAATATGTGTCCCCGGTGCGTCGGGGAACTCACGCAGCGTCAGAAAATAAAACCCTCTCTCTTTTCCTCCGTACCCAAATCTTTTAAAAACGGGTGTACAACGAGCTGATACAGATTTCCATCTGAACTGACGTGTCCATCCCAAGCCCCCAGGAAGTGCGCCGGACTCAGATGAAAATATTCGTGCTGGCCAAACGGCGGTACTACACTTCCGTTTGGTTGCCAGGCCCGGAAACACTTTTTCCCATTGACTTACATGGGGAAAGAGTGGTCTGTAAATCGTTGGATAATTTTTTTTAAACTAAATAAACTACCCAGTATGAACACTTGTATAGCCCTTATTAAAAACATTCGTTCCTCAAGTTGTAATAATGTGCTAATAACGTTATTCTGAGAGTTATTTCCCTCTGCATTATGAACGCGCATCTAACCCACGGGACCGCGCCGCCCGGGACGTTCATGTTACGTGTCCCGACCGGTCCTGACCAATCGGAGCACACTGTGCTCACAGGAAGTGTGGGGGCTGGAGCTATTGGAGCTACAACGAGCCGTTAAAGGCAGAGAGTGAAATTCAGTGAATACAATACATGTAGTTTACAGAGATGCTGTTTGAGAAACCAATGTGAGTTGCGTTTATCTTTACCCATGGATGCACAATAAGAACGGACCCATATCGTCTTACTGCCACCCCACGGAGCTGTAATAATGGATATATTGCACATGTTTGCTATAATTCATTGTCATACTACATGGGCTGTATGATTAAATCTTGTACCGTAAATGTTGTATTAAAGTTAATATTACTTATTATTATATATATATATATATATATATATATATATATATATATATATATATATATATACAGTGCAATCATTCTTTCATGCTAAATGAAGCTCTGTTGCTTGGATATCACTAGATCCTGTTACAGCGTAATATAAGTACATAATGATTGATGTGTACATTAGCATAATGACTAGCTAGCAGCTAACTGCCGCCTCGTTAATATCAAATCCATCATAATAACAAACCATTACCATGCTGCCATGAACGTGCGGTGCTGTTACGTGTACGCAAATTGACGTGCTGGTTGGGGACGAGCATTTTTGGTTAAAGTTGCGCATGTGCTATGAGTGCACATACGGGTACTTCTCAGGCATGCCGGGTAATCTGTGACGTTTCGCTCTCTCAAAAGTTGAGCCATTTTATCATCATGCGCTAATGAGCAACTCTCATAGGAATGAATGAGGCCCCGCCTCCCACGCTGTATCCAGGGGCCCTTCTCACTTCTCTTATTTTTCATTTCCTCGCTCCTCGGTCGCGGTCTCACCGGAAGTTGATTTGTCTGCGCCATCTTGAGTAGCGTCCCAATCATGTCTATGGTCCCAATGGCCTTATTTTTGCCGGAGGACCGAGGAGCGATAACGGAGGAGCTATAACCGAGGAACCACCAGACCATCCTTCGATGAAATCCTCACACTCGCCCCGCCCCCTTACTGTGTATCGCTCACTGATTGGACGAGGCAGTGCATGCACTGATCTGATGCTTCTTGACATGAGAGCAGTTTCCCAGCGGAGTGAAGAAAATACATGAACTTCACGGGAGTCACTCCTCAGTTTATACCGTGTTTTGTTTCAATGAATGTATCATTTAATTACAAATATGTGATATATCTGAACAACAACGTGGTCAAAAATCATTTTCTTCATTTATTGGAAACATTTTCATGATCGCTTTTTTCATTTATCTTTTTTGAGAATGAGTTCTTATTTTATTTAATGTATTTGGGTCTACAACCGATTATACAAATGTTTGTGTCAGTAAATGTGTACTAACGTAGGGTACTAACAGAGGCGAGGGTGTGTGTGGAAATAACGGGGACAGAGCTGGGTTGCGTTCCAATAGTCCATTTAGCTGAACATTCCTAACGGAGTGAAATGACCCGGAAGTACGTCACTGGCAGCCATGATAAGTGCTGTTCCTATTCTCTAAATGAAAGGAAAGCAGGTTTCAAACTTCCTTTATAAAACCTCCTTTAGCTTAGGAACCACTGGACCTCCCTAACCGAAAGGAGAGGAGAAAATGCTGCCCCACAATGCATTGCAGCCGCAGCATTTGCCGTCACTCAACAGTCGGCCGTTCACTAAACAACCGATTATGACCGAGAAATTATATCATGAAAGTTACGGTGCTTATTAAGCATTTTAAAACGTATGTGGTAAGTTGCCAAAGTGCTTTGTTTTGAACGTTCATCAGTATTATAATCAAAAAGAGAAATATGAACGTTGTGAAATGATCAAATAAAGTCAACATTTCACAGTGTTTACTACTGCGCTGTGTGGTGCTTGTTCAACTTTTAAAAGATGTTTGAATGGTGATATACACAGTGATTGATTTTAAGATCTTTTCATAGTTCATACAATCATACGTATTGGGATCATTTGTATTAATGTGGACCGGAGGGAGAGGGTGACGAGCATAAGTTTCACTTTCCTTTTTTATTTCAATTCCAACTTTGGTCATGAAGAATATGTTTCTCTGTTGTCCACGTTCATAAAGCAACAGCATCAGAGCACGGTGCAGAGTCTCTAGATGCGTTTACAGTAGTCCCTCGTTCTTATTAAACATCCATGTTGTAGTCCGCTGTATAGAAAACTGTAGTTTCCATAGTTTCCCCACAGCAGCAGACGCACATTCATGACGTCCGCTGGCGCATCATAAACACGTCGGATAGTGAAAGTGCATTCGGATTCTCTAAAGTACCGGGTTGCGTTCCGATAATCCAAAAATCAGCTCCTAAATTCTAACCCTATCTCCTATTCCTTGACCTCTGAGTGAAACGTCACGGGGTTAAGGGATAGTGGATAGGAGAATTCAAAAGGACTTAGGAGAAGAGACTGCGGTACTTCAGAGAATCCGACAGCACTTTCACTATCCGACGTGTTTATGATGCTCCAGTGGAGGTCATGAATGTGCGTCTCTGCTGTGGGGAAACTGGAAACTACAGTTTTCTATACAGCGGACTACAACATGTTACATGGATGTATAATAAGAACGAGGGACTACTGTAAACTCATCTAGAGACTCTGCACCGTTCTCTGATGCTGTTGTTTTATGCTTTATGAACGTGGACAACAGAGAAACATATTATTCATGACCAAAGTTGGAATTGAAATAAAAAAGGAAAGTGAAACGTATGCTCGTCACCCTCTCCCTCCGGTCCACATTAATACAAATGATCCCAATACGTATGATTGTATGAACTATGAAAATATCTTAAAATCAATACAAATGTAGGCTATTTATTATAAACGTTAGTCCTTAACATCTATTACTGTGTATATCACCATTCAAACATATTTTAAAAGTTGAACAAACTCCACACAGCTCAGTAAAGACTGTTAAATGTTGACTTTATTTGATCATTTCAGTCAAAACTAACGTTCATATTTCTCTTTTTGATTATAATACTGATGAACGTTCAGAAAAAAGCAATTTGGCAACTTACCACATACGTTTTAAAATGCTTAATAAGCACCGTAACTTTCATGATATCATTTCTCCGTCATAATCGGTTGTTTCCGTGAACGGCCGACTGTTGTGATGGCAAATGCTGCGGCTGCAATGCATTGTGGGGCAGCATTTTCTCCTCTCCTTTCGGTTAGGGAGGTCCAGTGGTTCCGAAGCTAAAGGAGGTTATAAAGGAAGTTTGAAACCTCCTTTCCTTTCATTTGGAGAATTGGAACGGCACTTATCATGGCTGCCACTGAGGGACTTCCGGGTCATTTCACTCCGTTAGGAAGGTTCCTAAGCTAAATGGACTATTGGAATGCAACCCAGTTCTTATTATACATATGGTCCATCCGAACTGACGTCGGCGGACCCACAGAAAGTTGCTATCAGAAACAATGCCTGACGTGTTTTGGACGTCTTTGTTTACATTAGCAAGCCTCGCTAACACTCGGAGCTAACCTGTAGGCCTACTGAAAAGCACATGTGTTTAAATAGCAGGAAATAAAAAAAGAACTCACCTTGTGATAAACCTGCAAGAGAAAAAGCATTTGAGTTCCATACTGAAATAATCCTTGACGTGGTTTAAACAGGATGGCGTTTTATCACAGCCAAATTGTACTTTATCTCCGGTAGAATTCTGATTAGGCATTAGCTCCGCCTCCTCTTATTTATTTTTTTCAAGCTAAGGACCCAAAATCTGCATTTCCCTGGGCTTCAAAAGAGGGGTTTGAGCAGTATGAGGCATGGCTACAATGGGTGATCTGTTTGGTATTTTGAAAAAAAAACTTCACAGACATGTTTTGGCCCTACAATATATATTTCAAATATAGCATGATAGGTCCACTTTAAATTAGTGTCCACATAAGTAGCTCGTAATCTAAAATATATATGCATATTGTGATGTCCTCTCGTTTTGTTTAAAGGATTTAAATTGAGATGCTAAATAGACTGCATTTGTAAAGCAACTCCCTGCTTTACCAGACAAAGCACTTATAGTTACTTGTCCTTGAGTTATAGGTAGTCGTGTATTGTCTACATAGAGACACATTTGATGATCAAAAAGAGTGAATAACCTGGATTTGGTTACACAACCTTCTAGAAACCAGTCTCTCTTCAGACCAGCAGTGGCATAGTAAAGGATGAATCTGGAGCTACAGATATTCTCCCTCAGTGGCACGTTGACCCATTTAGAGACAAACATTTGTTCTGTTATTTGTCTTTCTATGCCCCTTACCTTAATTAAAGAAAGAGTGTGTGTATGTCTGTATTTTCTGTGTGTGTGACAATGACTCTTCCCACTGCCTATTTTAAACACAGTGGATTGTTCTCTTTACTGCAGGGGAGGAACTTAGTGACCTGATTCTCGCAGCTGCGCAGAGTGTGTGCATGCGTCTTTTTGCATGTTCCCTAGCGAGCAGAGTTGCAGACTCACCATAGACTTTGATTAATGACACCTACAATTAATCAAGTGTCTGTAGCAGGGAGAGGGCTGCGGCTCAGTGCAGGGGCCATGCAGACTATTCAACACTTTTTAAAGAGTGCTCACTGCAGCAGAAGAGCAGGAGCAAATATATGAGAGAAGGAAAGAGGTTGTTTTATTCATACTGCGAAAGGAAATATACCATTTGGAAGAGAGGGCTAACGGATGTATTTGTCTTGTTGTCATCAACAGTGAATTGAACAGATATTACCTGTGTAACCTTTGATACAGTGTGTTCATTGGTGCTATAAAGTTCCAACCACTAATACAAACACATCACCAAGCAATGCCGTGGGTTTTATGTTCCTTTAACGCCAAAGGTTGAGCATGGCCTTTTATCCTGCACCAACTCACTGATACGAGCACACTTAGATCACGGAGAAAAACAATAAATACAACATTAACTCCTGTTTAAGTTACAACAACTACATTGACAAAACAGTTTATTGTGGACATTTTAAGTATATATTTGTAACCTTTTTTACATGTGTTTTGTCGCATAGAATTGTTTTTCGCCAACTCTTTGTGAGACAATCTAACCGCTGTTGTGTCCAATCCAATGTGTCAACCATACCTGCTTCTCATTCCCACATTCACAGTCGGTAGCTTTCCCCTTCTGTGTTTTTATTCCTCACCCTGTTTTGTCTGCTCTTTCTTCCCACTCATTCTTTTATACCTAGATTATGGCTGAAAGGAAAAGTGCCAAGGCTGCAGCTGGCAGCTCCTCCCAGACCGGCTCCGATGTACCCTTACAAGGTATGCACACACATAGACACACACACACACGTACACACACAACCACACACACGCATTCTTGTTCTTTTGTAGTTCCCTCGTGAGAACTACGCATTTCTCAGCTATGTGCTACAGTATCTTTCATGCTGTGGTTTCTTGTCTCACATTATTACATTTCTCAAACCACACATATATACTTTATATATGTGTGTATATGTATTTTCTTTTCTTAAATGACCTTATCGCCTCAGGAGCGACCGTGAACATGTGTTAGTAGAAAAGATAGCAGTGTTTGGTTCCGTTACACACAGATACCGCTGACTCCTCGCCTCACAATCACTGAGCGTTATCCCCGCAGCGCTAATTCTATTCACCATTTCGCTAAGTCCCACTGCTTGTTCCTCTCAGTCCCAAGTAATTATAGGAAGAAAGAGAAAAAGCTCTAGCCCAATTCCTCCTCTGCCGTAACGCCAGCTGCTGTGTGTTTGCTGAGCGTGAGGGATAGGAGCATAAGATTATAAAAAGAAGTATATCGGCTCTTCACTTACTGAGGCAGTCGACCTCATTAAAACCCAATTAGTGTTTCTTTGAGGCGACGCCTGGTGCTACATGGCAGCCATCCCAACCCCAGGATCAAAGCACTTTTTGGTAAAACATTCCTCACATGTTTTATAACTATTAAGCTTGATTTCATATTATTTTAACTGAAAAGCTAGTGTGCTCTCAGTGAGACGTGCTACAGTGGATAGACTGGTCCATGGGCTCTAGAGGTTGATTCACTGCCAGTGGAAGAAAAACAGTTCTCGCCTGGATTAGATCTCTTCAGTGTTGTGCACAATTCTGTGTTGGGACGCATTTTAGGAGATTAGCACTGAATGATATGGGGTCAGCGCCAACTCAGGAAATAGCCCTGCTGTCCTCGTTGGATCTGGACTGTCTGAGCTCTGCTTTATATTTGAAATGAATGTCTGAAAATTCATTTCTCATCATTCATGAGAGAGCTGAACATGTGAGATATTAGGGACTCTTTTTCATGGATTACACTGATGAGGTGATTTGATTTCCATTTTCACTCCAAATGACCCAACGGAGATGAGTTTCTGGTAAATTGATAATTTTTGAAATTCAGTAATTAAGATGTGGATTGTGCAAAATGGGCTGGAACTCATAATGAGGAAAATGTCCTTTTGTCATAGCTTAAGGGAACTTTAGTGGTTCAACTCTTCACCTTGCCTCACTGATGTAACAACATCACAGTTGGACGCGGTTAAAGGTGCAACAAAGCACAACCAACTTGAACTATGTGACGTGTGGTCAGAGCTGAAAAAGGCTTAGAAACTCAGGGATTCAAACACTGCTTCATAGCCTGCTGCTTCATACATCATATGTCCTTTTTTAATGGCTATAACATCTATTAAATATAACAGTTTTACTACTATTACAGATGTTGATAAGTATGTGTAGAAATGTCCTAAGTTGCACACTGAGCTGAATTTAATTATGACTCAATCATAAATAATTCCATATCACAATTGGCCCTCATTTTCTAAATCCATGTTGACTAGCAATAGAGCTAAAGTTAATAACGAATGACCCCATTTGAGAGGGATTCTTCTGCTTTGGTTTTAATGTATTGTGATAATAATGGTTTTGTCTTTAAGTACATTTTTTGAACTGCGGTTAAGCAATCAGCCATGTTTAGTGTTTGGTATGTTACCTTGTCAGAGGTTATCTCCAGCTTACACAGCTAATTGCCTGGTGTGTAAATGGGGACTTCCTGGGGTAAATGATGTTAATGTCTGTGCTGATTGGGATGCAGGTGATGCACATCTTTGATCATGCTTTCTGCCTTTAGGCCATTAGACAGGCACAGCTGGGTTTTCATGCAGACAACTAAAAGAAACGTGCATCCCCGTGTGCAAATATCTTTCTCATGCCCTAATCACAGCACACTAAAATATTAAAATATTCACCACAGTTTGTTTATTTCCCCTAGTTTTAGCCAATTATCACGTGTGGACTTTGCGTTAGATGTCGTCGTGTGATAAAATTCCCTGCAGCGGTTTGTGCGTATGGTTTTAATGCGTATGTGTTTTAATGCGTGTGTGTTTTAATGCGTGTGTGTTTTAATGCGGGTGTGTTTTAATGCGTGTGTGTTTTAATGCGGGTGTGTTTTAATGCGGGTGTGTTTTAATGCGTGTGTGTTTTAATGCGTGTGTGTTTTAATGCGTGTGTGTTTTAATGCGTGTGTGTTTTAATGCGTGTGTGTTTTTAATGCGTGTGTGTTTTAATGCGTGTGTGTTTTAATGCGGGTGTGTTTTAATGCGTGTGTGTTTTAATGCGGGTGTGTTTTAATGCGTGTGTGTTTTAATGCGGGTGTGTGTGTTTTCTCTCTGCAGAGTTTCCCTTGCCAAAGACTGAGTTGGTGCAGAAGTTCCATGTGCTGTACATGGGGATGACGACTGTGTCTCGCCCCATAGGTAAACCTGCACTCATACTCAAACACACACGTCATATTAACACACCCTGCACTCCCTGTTCACGCTCTCCTGTGTTTCCTCCTCAGGGATGGACGTCATAAATGGAGCCTTAGAAAACCTCCTGTCCTCCACAGGCAAAGAGGACTGGACTCCAGTCACATTGAGTATTGCTGACACGACTATGGCTGTCATCAAAGAAAAAAAGGCAAGGGACTGTTTGTTGCTCCCCTGAGGAGTAACAGATGAATAAAATATGTGGATGCACTTGTAGATTAAAGAGGAAGATCTAATAGAGCAGTGTTTCAGATCTAACTCTGCTCTCGTTTGTGTGTGCAGGAGGAGGAAGAGGAGGTGTTGGTGGAGTGTCGAGTCCGTTTCCTGTCCTTCATGGGCGTGGGACGAGATGTGCACTCGTTCGCCTTTGTTATGGACACTGGGAGCCAGCATTTCCAGTGCCATGCATTCTGGTGCGAACCCAATGCAGGCCATGTGTCTGAGGCTGTGCAGGCAGCATGCGTAGTAAGTCCTTTTTTTTTTTATAAAGATGAGGTGATGTTGTGTTGAAAAATGATTATTTGGTTGGCTAGCTTGCCAAGTTAGATGAGAAGATTGATTTTGCTCTCATGTTAATTATATCACTCTTCTAACTCTCAGCGAAACAGCTGAGGTCAAACCAAAAGTGAGGTTTCCTTATCATTCTATATTCAGTCTTTAGGAAATGGAACTACTCTCTTTACTTTCAATTTCAGGAAAAACTGTGCCAAAAGACTAAATATAGTATGATAAGAACAATTGATGTATCTCAGAAACATCAAGCTACTAAATGAAGCGCTTGGTATCTAAGAACATTATGTTCTTTATATCAATCAGAACGCATTTGCATTTTTCCTTTTCATGCTAAATATAGTCTTTGGGCACAAATGGGTAAACGTTTTTCTCCTTAAAACCCAAGTGATGAAGACTCTTCTTCTCCTCTTCCTCAGCTGCGGTATCAGAAGTGTCTGGTGGCTCGGCCGCCCCCCCAACGCGCCGGCTCCTCCTCCTCCTCCTCCTCCTCGCCCTCTGCGGACTCAGTGACCCGCCGGGTGACCACCAGCGTGAAGCGGGGCGTCCTGTCTCTCATAGACACTCTGAAAACCAAGAAACAGCCCTCAGAACTCCCCCAGCAATGACCGTCACCGTGGCAACTGCACACCTGGACGCCACTCACACACTGTCGCCACGACAACACCTAATCAGTACCAGCCATGGTAACCAACGATGTACATACATGTTAACAAACACCACCGCAGGTGAAGGAGAAGAACAATCCTTTAGTCCGCCTGATGATATTTAAAAAAAATTACAAGAAAACTCCTGATTCGTGAGGAGGAATTAAAAAGCTGGTGTCAGTGATTGACCTTTGACCTTTGAACGCTGCTGTGTCTATGTGTAAACCACCTGCTGGCTTCATATGCCCTCACTGTATGTGGATTTGGTGATGGAAGACTAATTAAAACATTCTACAAACACGGATCAGGATTAGAAAATAAGAAAAAGATAACATTTCTATTAAGAAAAGGTTTATGGAACCACTCATCGGTGCCCTCCATTTTCTTTCGTGCTACGCCTCTTAATGTAAAAACATCCATCAGCACATTAAGAGCATTCGACTGGACGCCTGAGACACCAAACTACGGGAGCCTTCTAGGACAGAAAAGATGTCGACTTGCTGTCTAGGGATTTTAAAAGAAAAAAAGAAACCAAGACCTGCCAACACGCTCCATTCCACCAAACGGCATTCAAATGTGTGTCCCTTCGATGTGTGGCAGACTTAAAACACACATCCCCGCGAGGATGATTGAAATGATTGTAATAATGAAGTGTATGTAAATGATTGTATGTAGGAAGAGAACATTTAGGGCCCAACATTTGTAGATATGAGGGACAGATGAGATGTTGCTGACAGGAAATGAGACAGATGTGGGTTTTGATTTTGCATGTTTTATGTTTAATGAGTTAAAAAAGGTCTCGTAAGAAGAGTGGTAAACACACGATGCTCTTAGCACAAGTCATCTTAATTTGATCATGACTGGATTTTTTATTTGGCCTTTTTCTGACCCATACCTGAGTAAAAGGTTACTCTCAGCTCAATTTACAGAATCACATTTAAAGATTGTAAGTCAACACGTTTTGCTTTCCATTACTGATGGATACATAGATCAGCAAACCAAATGTAATCATTTGTAATGTATTTTGAAGCTTTTAATTAGTTAAGATTGTAAGTTTTTGAATCAATTATAAAGAAAGTAAGTTTTTAATGTTCAAGAATGTTACATTGCTTTGTCAAACTTAACATTTCCTCAGGAATCTTTATGCATACACCTAAGACTTACAGTATGTGGTAGTAGGAAAATCCAGATCAATTGACTTAGGCAGACGTGTGACAGTTATCAAAGCTTTGCCAAGGGTAATCTGTGTAAGGGTTAACTTTATTCTCTCTTCCTCTGTAAATCCAGCCAGTCTACTCCCACTCACAAAGAACAAACACACATGCGCACATACAGCAGTAGGAGAAAGAGTCTGCTGTCACACTGCTTCTGTAGCTCGTGGCTACAATCTGCACTCCACATGAACTCTGGGAATGCAGTTCGATCTGAATGGAAAAGACACACACAAAGAGAAAGATGCTCTAATCATTTCAGTTCTGTTCTTCACTCATCTCGACACCATGTAAATGTAATCTGTTGTGACAATAAATGCATTACCAAAAAAAAAAGAGTAGCTTCTTGAGTCTGTCCTTTTAATTCTCGGGTCAGTGGAGCTCTATGTAAAAGCTACCCATCACTTAGTGACATCAGCAGAGCCTTATTAATACACGCAATCTGATTATATTCTGACCGTGGCAGGTTGTTCGTTAAGGCACACAAAAACACTATAAAAATGACATTGTGGTAATGAGAAGTATTAATGGCTCTAGAAAGCGTTCAAGGCGACTTTTCACATATTCTTTGTAATTTGGCAGATCAACAACATTGTGTGTATGCTTGTGTTAGATTTGAATGCTCGTGACTTTGGATAAGTAAGCATTTGGCACAAAAGTTCATTCTTAATACTTTTTTATATTTCTGTTTCTGAGCTCAAAACAGAGGCCGGGATTTGACCATAGCATCCTTGGAGAGACCCCCACTGGAACGGGACAGGGGGACGCTCTGGGCGGGATCCCTCCACTTGTTGTAGTTGGGATGAGCTGGAAAGAAGCTGGGGAAGTGAATGGTGGGCAGGACGAGCACCATGGGCTTCAGCGGCTCCTGGGGTGGTCTGCGGGTACGGACCGCTGGGGTCGGAGGAGGGGGGGCGGGGGGAGATGCAGAATGCGTCCTGGGGGAAGAAGTTGGGATGTCCAATATTGGGGAGAGGCTTCTCTTGGGTGTGATGTTTCCTGGTTTGGTGGAAGAGAAGGAGCTGGACCCGGTGTTCTTTGAGACCTGCACGCGCATTGCTTTGGCTTTTCCTGAAGGACAAAACAAATGAGAAAAAATGTTGTAAATGAGCAAATTTTTGGACCAAATTCCCTGTTCCACTTTTTTATTTAATTAAAAGGCCTATCAGTATTTTGCTGTGAATTGGAATACGATTGATACCACTCTCATAATGATATAAACATGTAGGTAAAAGTAGCTCTATGTTTCTGTTTCATAATACAACTGACTTAAAGTGGACCTATCATGCTATATTTGAAACGTATATTGTAGGGCCATACCTATATAAAACATGTCTGTGAAGTTTTTTTTTCAAAATACCAAACAGATCCTGCATTTTAGCCATGCCTCATTTCGCTCTATTTGCTCTATTCAAGCCCTGTCTTCACAAGGGCTGATTCTGTGGCAAATGAGCTGCAGCTGACCACGCCCCCTGCAAAGGAGGGGGGCGAGGCACGAGCTTCATGTTACCATGCTGTTACCATGCTGTTACCATGCCATGCAACCTCTCATTCCCCTGAAAGGTGGAGAGTTGCCCATATAGGCGGAGCACCCCGTTTCTGACGTCAGAACAATTTCAAATCTGTATCAGATCCATTGCAGCCCCGTTTTTAGAGATTTGGGTATGGAGGAAAAGAGAGAGGGTTGTGTTTTCTGACACTTGATGAGTTCCCTGACACACCGGGGACACATATTCATGTATAAAAGACGTACAAAAGTGCATTTTGCATGATAGGTCCCCTTTAAGATATGCAGTAACCTCTCTCACCTTGCAGTGACGGCCGCCTGTTAGTAAACTCCTGTCCACACAAACTAGTGCTGTTGCTGCCCTTGGTCTCCCCGTTCTTTACAGCAGAGAACTGGGGCTGAGAGTTGGGAACATGGCTTGTTTTTTTCATCCTGTTGGTGTGTCCGTGATGTTCTTTTTTGGTGCCGATCCTTTCCAGTATGCCTTTAGCATTTGCTCTGACAAGCACGTCACGTGGGGCCTCTTTGACCACTGGCTCAGGCTGTTGGAAAGTAAAAGACAAAAGCAATGTTTTTTTATTTTATTTTGACGTGACCTAATCTTTTTAAGGCTCAAAAACGTATTAATGAATGAAACATTTTGTTTACTAAAGCATATACAGCAATAAGACCTCACTAACCAAAACCTCAAATATCATTAACATTGTTCTTCTAATAAGACATCTGGTGGCATCATAAGAGAACTGTATGCTGACACAAGGATTTATCTGCCCTATAAAGTACCTTTATCATTTATTCAAATAGTTTAGGCACTAAGGAGAAATATGCATCAATAATTAATGGTTATACTAAAAATAAATGTGTTTACCTTGCTGAACACACATTTGAATAAATGGTATTGCTGCTGCACAACACATTATATTGTTAAAGGAGGAGAGCAGAGCCACCGTGTCCTTGCTGCTGGCTGCAGGGTCACCTGCAGTCTCAGCAGACCACACAGCAGCTCCTGCTCTCCTCAACGCCTGAATTATTCACAAGCGCAGTGTACACTACGGGGACATGCAGCCTGTGTGGGTTTATGTGTGTATCTTGTTTTTAAGTGCTTGCTCCTAATTTAATTGAATGCATATATATGTTTGTGTAAGCTGTACTTTTATGTACACAGGCAGATGTGCATGCTGTTAGGTGTACCAGTGCATTTAGCAGAATATGGATATAGTTATTCGTGTTGATACACTCTGTACACACAGGTAAACAGGCTTCAGAAGCTCCGCTGTATTGCAGTTTTTGGGTGGACGCCCTGAACTTCATTGAAGCTAACTCATACAGACAGGGGGCGCTGAATTATTCAACAGACACTCTCCCTCGCCTCCCTTTCTTCCCCCTTACCCCTGTAGATTGCACTTCCTCCCCATCTCCACTAACCAACTATGCCATACTTTGCAAATCTCTCATTTCCTTCTAGACTTTGCCAAACTTAGCTGCCACAGTGTAGCCTGAAGAAATCTGGAGGGCACTCAGAGAGCGCAGATCACTGCCATGCCGTATATTGCAATGTTAATGAAAGTAGGTTGAGTCTTCGCCCCCATGTTTCAGTTTTGCTCCTTCCTTGGCCCATGCTACACCCTTTCACTAAGTTTCATGAATAACAGTCCAGTCTCGGTGGATGTAACAAATCAAAATGAAAGTGTTGGGTTCTGAATCCTTTATGAATTTGGTTCGAATTCATAATTCAGAGTTTGGGAACTTTAAGAAGAGAGTCTACTTGTAATGGGCTTTCTCTGGAAATCAGGCCAGAAACACATTATTTGACTCTTCATAATTTCCAGCTGTTTCTGTAAGGAAAGCTCATAAATCATTTTACTGTATGCCACTATGACAGTCGATGTTAGCCAGACAGCATTCAAACACTTATATAATTGCCATTTTTATGGCGCTTTTCAGAGTGCCACAATAACTTTTGATTAGCTGAGTTTATAGTAGAAAAAAATCCAGTTTGAGGCGCCATTACAGCAGTTTGATTATCTTTTCATTCCTGTCTGCGGAGGTATAAAACATGATGAATGGCCCGAAAGCAGCAGACACACAGTGCGAGAGCGCTCCGTCACACCCAGTGGGAGTGAGATGGCTTAATAACCCTGCGCAGCAATCATAAGCATAAGAGCAGATTAAATATTGTGACGGAGCATGTCGTAAACGTGGCTGTTTTGTTGATTATGAGGATGTGGGGAAGCCCGGTCAAACAGACTCGTCTCATATCACAAACAGAAAAGAGAGGAGGAGAGAGGGTTAACCAGAGGTGTTAAAAGGGAAAAGAGATTGAGTTTGGCTCAAATAAGAAAACTGCGAGAGAGACTTGTGACATGACAAAACAATAAAGCCGGAGACAGAGTGCTTTCCAATTAAATATGTTCATAAAAGAGTCACAAAATGTTCCTTTTAGAAACAGACATTGCTACAATAAAGTCAAACCCGTTAAAGACACTTCTATTGTGTCTTATTTCTGAGTTTCATTCATGAACACCTTCATTCAAACAAAAAAGTGGATTCTACCACTGCTCTCTCTCTCTGCTCTAAAGCAAACCTCACTCCTCTCATCTCATCCTCCTTCTATTGATTTCTATTTCTAAAGCTTTTTTTCCAATTCATCTTTCTCTCTTGGTGGCAGATTACACCCGAAGAAGTCGCCTGCGTTTGAGACCCGACATTCTCCTTTTTTATTCTAGCAGCTTTTTTCTTGTTTTTCACTTTTTTCTGGTTAGGGGTTTGACCAAGTACCTGTCACAGCCCGCTCCTTTTGACCTGATCTCAACTTCTGTGTTCTGGTTCCCAAATCGCCTTACCCTTTCTGCCCAAACAAAAAGACATCCTTATCTCAGTCTCCTTTTCGACAATAAGTTTCCCAGTGGATGAATAGTTTTTGATAGATAGCATGCAGTACATTGTAACTGCTTGATCATATTTCCCACTCTTGTCTCAGGGCTCACTTATCAAACCTCTGTCCCTCTGTCTCCGTTCTGTCCACACCTGTGTTTTTTATGACAACCGCCGGGGGCTTTTCAGGACTCAAGTCAAGTGAAGGACGAGTTAGTTCTTCAGCAGACATAACGGATGAGTGAGTCAGTGAAAACACTTTCTCTGAAAAATATAGCAGTCAGCCAAATGACACACCAGAAAGGTCAGGTCCAGGGCTAATGCTAAATGCTAATCAAGCTCAAATGTTCCCTGCTTGTCTCTTTGTTTGTCTCACTGCCTGAGAGCCATAGCAGCAGTAGCTCTAGACCAATGGCGCTGTCCGTTGACTGAAGTTGCAGACTGATTTGTAATTGGCACTTCTTCTCTAAATCCCGCCCCTCTGTCAGTTTTGTCACCAATCTTTTTACATTTTGCTTTCAAAGTGACCCAAATCGATGCAGTCTGAGGTCCACACACTATGATGCCTGCATCACTCCTCCTTTCTGATGGTCACTTAATCAAAGATTAAAATGCTGAATTGACCCTTGACATCTTGAGGTAGATAAGTCTAGTGTTGAGATAAATACGGCATGGCATATTGGGGATGCTGAGAAGAACATCCTTTCTTTGTCAGTACCTCAGCCTTTCTCTGTGAGGTTTCTGCTTACCTCTTTACTGAGCACAGCCAGAAAGCAGCCATTGCTCTGTTCTGAGGGCTCCAACATGAAGAAGGGCTCTGTTTCCTCTGGGCCCGCTGCATCGTCAGGAATACTGAACGGGGATGGAGAAAGCCTAGAGACAAAACACATACAAAACTGGAAAATACACTGCACAAAAACACACCCAGGTACACCTCAAAAACACGCCTGTTTGACATCCTGGCTCCTAAATGTTGGAATGAGCTCCTCATTGACATCAGGATAGCAGAAACTCTGCATATCCTCCGTAGCAAACTGAAAACGTGTTTCAATTGTACCTTGGCAATTACATTATTGAGAAAACAGGGGGGGGGTAAAGCACCTTAAAAAGCAAATGTAGGCTGTGTAACTAATTCACCAGCACTTAGAATGGTATGACTTGCTTGAAGTGAATATATCTGCACTTTCCTAGTTTTTCGGAGTTTGAATCTTGATGGTTTTTCCCCTTATTGTAAGTTGCTTTGGATAAAATGAAATGTAATGTATTAAAGTAAATGCACTATTTATTTGACATGCTTTGCTTTATACTGTATGGTGTGTTTGGTTATCTTAGCAAAGCCAGAGTGATCCATAACAATAATATTAATTGTGTTTTATTTATTTGGCGTTGGCTGAACACCAGGCCAGCTTTCAGTAGGAAAAGGAGTATGACTTGGTACAATCAGATCTACAGGAGTGGTAAAGTTCAACAAGTCTTAGGTTCTTTAAACCCCACACATAAAGAACGTCTTTGAAAAGGGAAGCTGTCTGAACAATGTTTTTCTCCTGCTTTTTCACAGTTTTTAGAGACATAAAATAGCCCCTTTGATTATTTTTCCTCCCTCAGTTCCAGCATGAGATGAGCTGAAACGTTGACAGAAGCGTATCTGGAGGGAAACAGACAAACAACCAGCAGGCTGACAGACAGCGAGGCAAACACACACAGAAAGACAACGACAGGAACAGAAGCAGAGAGGGCACTGGGGGGGTACTGGGGTACAGAGACTGGAGGCTGACCTGAAGTTTGCTTGTTTGGGTTCTCCCTCCTGCTCTGAGCGGGCCTTGGCGTGCTCCAGTGCTCTGCTCACTACCTCTTCATTCTCCTCTTGGTATGATGAACAGGTTGAGTACACCACCGACAAAACCCTCGGAACTAGACGAAACATAAGCATGACATCAACATTTGGCATGTATTATGTAGATAATTCTTTAAATTATCTGTGTTTTGCACTTTGAATCTGAAGATATGTGACAAATAAAACCAATAAAGTGAAATAAAGATGCTTGATTGACATTATAACAACATCCTATGTATAATATGTCCAATAGAAGCAGAAAAACCAACACATATTCAGGCATAAAGCATTTTCCTCTCTTATGAATGACAATTAAATGGGATTATTCCAGCTGAGCCATCCTGCTCATCAAGCGCCCTTTGAAGGAATGAAAATGAATTCCTCAGTACCCTATGTGTATATACGTGGCTCATTTTATCCAACTGCTGCTGGCTTGTAGATTTGTAGAGCTATTGGTAATTAGATTTATTTTTTATGCTCACTAATTATAGCCAGAGAGAAACAATTAGCGCCAAGCTGATAAGAAATAAAACCTGCTCAGATGTGGCAAATCGGTACCAACAAAATGTGAAATATCACTTCTAAGGAAGCGGAGCTCAGTCATAAAGACGAGACGACTGAGGGAGAAACATTTGACTTTTCAGACGTCCCGAAAACACACCCGTAAAAGGCTTTAGAGGTGTGTTAAAAGCGTGTGTGAGCGTCTGTCTGTGCGTGTGCTTATTCTACAATCGGTGAAACGAGACCATCGACTCAACCAAGCCAAAGCACTCGATACACACCCATCATTAATCAACACTCCTATTAGAAAGTATCTACACGGGCAAAAACATAGAAGAGGGCTGATCGATGGCAGTGTGATTAGAGGAGCTGGTTTTCATAGCCCCTAACAGAAAGACTCCAACTGCTCGATGAACATGACCAACAAGGAGAGAGGAGCGCTGAATACAAGATGGACTGCAGCTAATGAGGGAACATCGTGAACGCAGCTACAGTACATGCCTTAGAATATCATAAAATGCAGCATATCAAATAACGAAGAGAAAAAGACTTGACTGTGACACCTGCATAGAATCTGCATTATGTTACTTAGCAATAGAGCGGTGCAGTGATGACGTATTTTTGTAGGCCGACCCGGAAGTAAGCTGCGCATGGGCTTCCTCGACAAAAAAAGGAAAGGGATTTCTCCATAAGATTTTGGAATATTGTAAAAAATAAGATTAGTGGAAAACGAACCTGTTTGATAAATGCACGTTTTGTTCAGCAGGATAATCTCCACATGTCTACCCTACTTTTATAATTTTCTAGTCATAAATCTAATCAAAAATAGAATGCTAACGTTATGCTATAAACGAACTACAGCAGAGTACAGCAGGGTCGCACGACTTCAACGTCACGCCAACTTAAGATCGATATTCAAAAATACATATTCAAAAGTGTGCAAGTTGAAGTGTTTGTTTTAACAGTTTGCAAGAGCGCAGGTATTTTCCTTCTTTTTTTTTTGTCAGTTTATTGAACATGTCAGAAACAAAAACATACAACAATATAAATATATTCTCTTTTTTTCCCTTTTTTTTTCTCACTCAAATTAATAATTATAACAAAGTACAACAAAAAAAATCACAAAAAAAAAAAAAACAATAATAATTCTCAGATAGTCTCTGTCATGTTCAACAGGGGCAAGAAGAAGCTTAAAAAAAACTTTTCTGGTCCTACCCCCTCTTGCATATATTTTTCTTATAAATAAAACATTAGGTCATCGTCATCAGCGACATGTTTGTCTTGTTAATTTGTTTGCTTTTTGTTTTTTTACAAAACAATCGGAAATAAATTACTTTTACAAGAAATAACAACAAATGGGATTTTACAGGTCCTGTTCATAACCATTAATGATTTGGCTCCTAAATAATACTTTCAGTTTAGATAGACTTGTACAATATTTCAGTGCATCATTACAGTTATAACACCACAGACTAACACCTTTGGATGAGATGCAATGAAGTTTGGCATTTATTCGTAGGGGTGGTTTTTTGAAAATGCAGTTTCCTCTCAATATGTGCATGCTTTCTCTCCGTGTGAAAAGTCCCTGGATATTATGAGGTAATTGTTGATTTGCGGCTTTGAACATAATTTGAATAGTTTTATAGTCAACCAGGTCTTGTAGTTTTAGTGTTTTTAGTTTGATGAACAAGTTATTTGTAGGTTCTCTGTACGTAGTTTTATGTATAACTCGTATGGCTCTTTTTTGGAGGATGAATATAGGATGTGTATTTGTTGTATATGTGTTCCCCCAAACTTCCACACAATACATCATGTATGGAAGTATGAAGGAGCAGTACAGCATAAACAAAGAAGCTTGATTAATTAGGTATTTGGCTTTATTCAGAATTGCTATTGATTTGGATATTTTTGCTTTGATATAGCTTATATGTTTCCAACTTAATTTATTGTCTATGATTACTCCAAGGAATTTTATTTCCGATACTCTTTCTAACTGGACGCCATTTATAGTGAGTTTCTTCTCTGTATTGGTCGATCGATTCCCAAATATTATGAGTTTGGTTTTGCTTGCGTTCAATGTTAATTTATTTTGGTCAAACCAGATCTTCATCCTGCTCAGTTCCTTCTCCATTGTGACCAATAGCTGTTCTAAATCGTCCCCACAGCAGAGTAGACTTGTGTCGTCTGCAAAAAGAATGGTTTTAATAATTTTTGATACTTCACATATATTGTTAATATACAGAATAAATAGTAATGGCCCCAAGACTGAGCCCTGAGGCACCCCACATGTAACCTGCAGTAGTTGTGATTTATGGCTTTGTAGTTCAACGTACTGTTCCCTGTTATGTAGGTAGCTGGATAGCCATGATAGTGCAACACCTCTAATGCCATATCTCTGTAGTTTTTTAATTAATAATTCATGGTCAACCGTGTCAAATGCTTTTTTAAGGTCCAGAAATATCCCTATTACATATTCTTTCTTTTCTATTGCCTTAGTAATGTGTTCCATAAATTCTATAACTGCAAATGATGTAGTTCTCATTCATAACACTCCGTTCGATGTCTCACTATGGGATGCGCCTCATCGCGGAGCAAACAGAAGCATCAATCTCATTACGCCAATCCTGATTGGCTGGAGATCTTGACGTCAGCGTCAGGGAAATCACCCCCTATAAGTAGCTTGCGCCACAACGCATGCGCCATTCAAACACCTCTTCTCGCTTCAGAGCACATCTCTATGGTAGCCGGACAAGCTTCACGGTCCACAGACTGAACCCAAATATCCATTTCGGTCGACGGGCGCTTGCCGGCTACTCCTTCTGCTTCGCAGGAAGACGGTAATTACTAACGCTAGTTATTGTTGAAATCGACCTCGCCGCTCTCTTTCCCCGGAAAGTAAGCTAGGTCTGATTTTCTCAAGCTAGCGTTAGCTTGCTCCCTCACTACCGACACCACGGTAGCGAGGAAGTCTTTTCTTTTCTCTTCCCCACGGAGGAGGAAAGGATTAAAAGGAGCATACTGCCACACCAGTCAGTATTCTCTGGGAATAAAAGACCCACACCGTCCTTTTCTCCGGATTAAGGACAGGGTGGTTACCTCTTTTTCTCCCAACCTACCTGTTGAGAGCGGGTCCTCTCCACGCCACGAGGCGAACAAGATGGACGCCCCTCTCCCTCACACCAGAGGAGTCAGGGACTCGGTGGCTCGACTCTGCGGCTGCGGGTTGAAGATCTCGGGCACAGACACACACACCAGGTCTGCTCGTCCTGCCTCGGGCTGGAACACGCCCGAGGCGCTATCGACAACCCCGGCTCGTGCGGACATTGTGTCCGCTTCACCGTAAAGAGCCTCCGCCGACGGCTAGCACGCCAAGCTAGCATGTCGGAGCAGGAACCCCCCATGTCCTCTGACCTGCGGCCGGCAGTCAAGACGCGGGGGCATCTGTCACAGAGAGTGAACCCCTCTCCATGTCGGTCTGGGGCTCAGTATCTGCGATGGCCGCAGAACCGGATTCCCGCGCCCTGGCAGGCCGGGACCCGGTGGCGGCAAGACACGCGGGAACGGGACCCCACGCTTTACCGAGCTGGGGCTCCCAGTTAGACCTCACCATGGTCTCACCCGCGGAGGATGTCCTCGAGCTGGATTACGACGAGGACGAAGAGGACGCCTCGGTGTTCCTCCTGTCCGAGTCGGATGAACATGAAGAGGACATCTTCATGTCATCGGCTCAGGCTGCAAAGCCTGGAGCGAGGGCTGCTCTCCCAGACGATAGCATACCAGCTTCGCCCTGTCTGAGTATGGACCTGCAGGCCGTGTGCAAACGCGCTGCGGCCAGACTCGACATCCCGTGGCCTGAAATGGCCAAGGAGACCTCCAGGTCCCGCTACGAAGGGAAACATTTTCCCCAAGCAGCGCGGACAAAGAGACAACTCCTTCCGGTCTTCCCGGAGATGTTGGATGAGGTGTCGGTCTCGTGGAGAGACCGGCCCTTCAGCAACAAGGTCCCAATCCAGGGTGCCTCCTCCCTAGACTGTGACGGAATGGAGAAGCTCGGCCTGCTCCGCATACCGCCCATGGAACCGCTGGTAGCAGCCCACCTCCTACCGAGGATGGGCCCGTCACCAAGCAGGAACCCCACGCTGCCGGCAAAGTCGGACCAATTTCAGTCGACAATGACTGAACGGTCCTACAAAGCCGCAGCGTTGTCCGCCAGGGCCCTGAATGTGGCCTCGCTGCTAACCGCTTACCAAGCGGAGCTCTGCGAGGACCTGTCGGGTAACCCGGGGGCAGCCACTCTGGACGAGATGGCGGCGGTCACAGACATCTGTCTCCGTGTCCAACGCTGCGCCGTCCAGGCCACGGGTAAGGCAATGGGGATCATGGTGGTGCAGGAAAGAGCGAGATGGCTCAACCTCACCAACCTCCCAGACCGGGAAAAGGAGGATGTGCTGGATATGCCCATCGTTCCCGAGGGAATTTTCGGCTCCGCTCTTGCTTCCATGCAAAGGAGGTGTGAGTTGAAAAAGAGGGAGGACGAGGCACTCCACCTCTGCCTCCCTCGAAGGGTCCAGCCGCTGCCTTCGCAGCAGCAGTCCTTCGCCCAAGCTGCCTTGAACCCTGCTCGGTTTTAAAACACCGAAAACGCAGAGGTCGCAGCCCGCCCCGAGTCCCCAGCCCAGGCTGGAGACGAGGGCGAGCTGGCCCAGAAAATCTCCGGTTCCGGCTGCAGCTCAGGCGCAGCCAACCCAGAATTTCGGCCAGCAGGGGAGGAAGAAGAAGCGAGCGGCGTGACAGCCCCTCCTTCTCCCCTCCGTGACAGAGCTGGAAGTCCACGGTTCCCCAGCTCTAAATGCGTTCCCGCCGCCTCGAGAGATGCCTCAACACCATCCTCAAGTCCGCAAAAACACATGTCACAAATCTGTTTGTTCCTCTGTCATTAAACATTTGCCGCTGATGCATCCAGGCTTCAGGCCGAGGGCGCAGCTCAAAAAAAATGATAAGAAAAACAATAAAACCAATAAACAGCCCGCCAACTGTTCCCCTTCTGAGAGCAGCTTCGGCATCTCTCAAAAGGCGGATTACAGGCGGGTCTGTGAAGGCACCACCGTCACGCGCATGCGCAGTGCCGGCTGGGGTTTTAAAAGCACCACCGCCTCAGACTCAGAGGGGAAGAGATGTGACATCTCCACTGGCTCTAAGGAGCATGCAGTGGAAGATGCTCACATCATCTGCTTGGGTTTTCAAGACAGTAACACGGGGCTACAGACTCCAATTCGCTGTCACCCCCCCTCGCTTCTCGGGCATTCTGCATTCGCAGGCCCGAGGAGAGTCAGCCCATATTCTGGAGAAAGAGATTCTCTCTCTCCTAGAAAAGAGGGCTATATCTATTGTACCCGCCGAGCAGAGTCAGGGCGGCTTCTATTCCAAGTACTTCCTCGTTCCCAAACGGGGAGGGAACGGAATTCGGCCAATACTTGATTTGAGGGCTCTGAACAAATATCTAAGAAGATATAAGTTCAGAATGCTCACTCACACATCTCTGCTGCGGCTCGTGCGACAAGACGACTGGTTCACATCAGTCGACCTGAAAGATGCGTATTTTCACATCCCAGTATATTACCCACACAGGAAATATCTGAGATTCGCATTTCAGGGGATCTGTTATGAATACAGAGTACTCCCCTTCGGTCTGTCTCTCAGTCCAAGGGTGTTTGTACGATGTACGGAAGCCGCGATAGCCCCGTTAAGACAACAGGGTATTCGCCTGGCGACCTACCTGGACGACTGGCTGCTTCTCGCACAGTCGGAGCAGGAGGCTGTTACGCAGACAAATGTCCTCGTAAAGCACCTGCTCAACCTGGGTTTCATAATAAACACAGAGAAGAGCATGTTGTGCCCCGCGCAGACTATACTCTTCCTGGGTTTACACCTGAACTCGGTGCCCTTTTCAGCTCGCTTGTCAGCGGATAGAGTGAAAGCTTTCAGAGCTTGTCTCGCTCTTTTCCAGCTGCGCAAACATGTTCTCTTCAGATCATGCCTTCGATTGCTGGGGCTCATGGCGTCAGCCATCCTGGTCGTACGACTGGGACGCTTACACATGAGGGAGTTTCAGCGCTGGGTGGCCGCCCTAAAACTAAACCCTGCGCGCCATGGCGCGCGGAGAGTGATGGTTACTGTGAAATGCGTAATGGCACTGCGCCACTGGCTGCACCCGACTTTTCTAGTACGAGGTGTGCCTATGGGTGCTGTCCTTTCACGGAAAGTGGTCACCACGGACGCATGTCTGACAGGTTGGGGAGGTATTTATGAAGGTCGCCCGGTGAGGGGTCTCTGGAGCAGAGACCTCCAGCGGGCGCACATAAATTACCTGGAGCTTTTAGCGGTATTTCTCACCCTAAAACGCTTTCTGCCTTTCCTCAGGGGACATCACGTCCTCGTGAGGACAGACAATACGACCACAATATCGTATATTAACCGCCAAGGGGGTTTGCGTTCTCTCCAGTTACACACACTGGCGCGCAAACTTATCCTATGGAGCGGTAGGCGTCTCCTCTCTCTGAGAGCGACGCACGTACCGGGAGTGAGGAACCTCGGGGCAGATCTACTGTCCAGAGGTATACCACTGTATGCAGACTGGACTCTACATCCAAGGATTGTGAGCCAGCTGTGGGTGCATTACGGCAGAGCCGCGGTGGATCTGTTCGCATCGAAAGACAACGCTCAGTGTCAGCTGTTCTTTTCGATGCGCGATCTAAATGCACCGTTAGGCGTGGATGCACTCGCGCACAATTGGCCCCCGGGCCTTCTGTACGCGTTCCCACCCCTGGCTCTGATACCCCCAACTCTGGCCAGAGTGAGAGAGCAACGCCACACACTTATCCTGATAGCTCCGCACTGGCCAGCTATGTACTGGCTAGCGGAGATATATCAGCTGCTGTGCGGGCAGCCATGGCAGCTCCCACTACGCAGGGACATACTGTCCCAAGCGGGGGGGGGTGATCTTTTACCCACACCCAGAGCGCTTGGCTCTATTGGCCTGGCCCGTGAGTGGTACAATCTAAATACAGTGTGACATGACGCTGACCCTGGCAGCTGCCAAGCGAGCCAGTGGCACTCATGCACTATCTGTACAGTTTTCATGCACTCAGTTTGCCCCAGGGCAAACAGAGTGTGGTTGAAGCCTGACCCTGCCTTTATCTTAAGGCGGTCGGTTCGGGTACCACATTTGACATTAAGGCATCCTCCCCGCCACTGTATTCCTCCGGGGAACAGCGGCCGGATTTGCCGTGTCCAGCCCGTGCTTCACGCACGTACAGGGACAGATCAAGGGTGCTTTGTCATAATGACCAACCCCTTGTGTCCTGGGCTAACCCTTATAAGGGCAAGCCTGTTACTAAGCAACGGCTCTCCCACTGGTCTGTGGAAGCAATTGCTTTGGGGCTCATACGAGTCAGAGTTCGCAGGCACCCTCGGGTCCGCGAGCTCTTTCGACTCAGAGTCTGGCTGCATTCTGGACTCTGTCCAGGATGTCTCCCATCAAAGACATTGGTGCAGCGGCGAGCTGGTCCTCGCCGCTCACTTTTGTCTGCCTCCTAACAGGCTGGACGTTCTGCTCCCAGTGTGACTCAAGCAGTGCTGGGCACCTGGTTGAGTCAGAGCTCTACCTGTTAAGTTCTGGTTGGTTTGGTGATTTTCGAGATAAGCTCGTCTGGCAATACGGGAGCTACAATTTCCCATAGTGAGACATCGAACGGAGTGTTATGAATGAGAACTATAGGTTACTTGCGTAACCCCAGTTCTCAGAGTAACATGAAGTGAGATGTCTCACCAGACGGCCCTCCTTGCTATGGTGAAGCGAGAAGAGGTGCTTATTTTGAATGGCGCATGCGTTGTGGCGCAAGCTACTTATAGGGGGTAATTTCCCTGACGCTGACGTCAAGATCTCCAGCCAATCAGGATTGGCGTAATGAGATTGATGCTTCTGTTTGCTCCGCGATGAGGCGCATCCCATAGTGAGACATCTCACTTCATGTTACTCTGAGAACTGGGGTTACGCAAGTAACCTATAGTTCTGTTTGCTCTGAAACCATATTGTTGTTCATAGAGTATGTTATGTTTGGTGACGAAGTCATTTAGTCTTGTATAGTAGATTTTTTCCAGTATTTTAGAAAATTGTGAGAGCAATGAAATTGGTCTATAGTTTGACAGTACATGTTTATCTCCAGATGTATGTATTGTATTGGTATGACTTTAGCAGTTTTAATTTTATTTGGAAATACACCGGTTTGTATTGACTGATTACAGATGTGAGTTAGTGGTTTGGCTATACATTCAATAATGTTTTTAACTGTATACATGTCAATATCATGACAGTTGTTGACCTTTTACTCTTGAGTTTTTTAACTGTGTCAATAATTTCATTTTCATCAGTCCCTCTTAAGAATATAGTTTCCTTCACATATATATATATTTACTTTCAACACCATCACTACAACCAGTATTTGGAATTTCCCCAGCTAGACAAGGACCAACATTGACAAAGTACGTATTGAAATCTTCGGCAACTGAGGTCATGTCATAAATTACTGTATCCTTCAAGCAGAACAGGGGCAAACAAACTTAGCGGGAGTGTTCACGTGTTCGGCGTAATGACGTACAACGTCCTCGACAACTTCTGTAGTCCTATTCAGCCACTTGTTAACAACCATCGTTTTTCAGACACGTAAACTCTTCAAACCAGTGGGGTCACTGCTGATGTATTTAATGTCGTAGAACAAAATGTGATCCGTCTCTTCAATTTGTGTCAACCACAGACCTTATTTTGAGCTATTTTCCAAAAACAAGTTCAAATAACCCGTTGACTCTGAGATGAGGGAACCGGAAGTGGTCAAATGCTAAGTCACTTCCGGGTTTTAGGACTCGTTCCTGCACCACTCTATAGAGGTCCCTCTGTCATATACTGTTCTATAGAATGTTTTTAATATTAGGCATAATAACTTATCAGTGCTTTAAAATAAGCGAGGGATGCTGCAGGAGATTGTTGCTGACTGGCACAGAGCAACATTCCTAATTAAGACTCAGACGACCTCCCAGGGATCCCACAGGCTTCAGTCTAATGGCGTACCAGATTAGATCATTAGGAAGGATAAGCTCCATTGTGTCAGATAGGTGTGAGAGGCCTGAGCTCACATGTGTGCATGTCAACATCAGAGCAGGTGTTTCGACACTCACACTTCAAGGCATGATCAATATCCTTCCTCTGCTGGGCCACCAGAGCTTGCAGTCTGCTCGGGGCGATCGAGCCCTGAGATAAGTCCTGCAGCAGTTCTGTGTCTGAGGAAGAGCAGAATCTCCTTTTTATTAGCGTGGAGTGTGGTGAGCATTAGAACGGGTCATTTTTGTGAAACTATAATATATTGATATCCATATGTAGATGAAAGGGATGCTTTGAAAGGTTCGCTAAAAGGTTCAGTTTGCAGACTGAAAGCTTTGTGTGTGGATGGTCAACAAGTATTTTCAAAACTTGATTAAACATAACTATAAAACGCACAAATAGAAGTTTGAAAAACATAGAAATTCATCTTCTGATTAAATTATTGATACATTAATGTTAATGCTTATCAATAAATGCGGCTGCACTAAACTTTAACATAACTTTAAACTGCTTTCGCATTACTTATTTACTACTTTGAGATAGATCTTTTTAAGTGTGTTGGAGTAGATTGACAGCTTAATTGGGTTTCATTTGCATAACTTGCATTCAATATTAATTGGTGTGTTTATTGTTTTGAAGTATTAACTGTTGTGAGTGAATACAACTGTTTGTGCCTCTGTTCTATTTCAGCCATGCACACCGGGATGTTATGTACACTAAATGACTATGTATTTCTGAAATGTGTACAGATCACTATGTACCTCCATTCTCTTGCAGTATGAAGTCCACCGGGTTGCTGACTGCAGACACAGAGCACTTTGGGTTCAGCAGGATGACGCGCACCTTCTGCAGTCGCTTGTCATCGTTGTCCAAAGACTGGAAGACCTCTGGTATCAGCTTCACATCTGAGCAGAATGTGAATGGGGTTTACTGATAACCCGCATAATAAAAAGCAAAAAAAACATTTTCTCAATGCTTAAAGTCTATTTACAATGTCTATATTTCTTCATAGTAAAATACCGTGCCTGAAGGCATCTTTTGCAATTATTGCATTGTCAGCTGTGTAATACGCGCTTTATTGTTTCTCTAATGACTACAGTGGCTGAGATGCAGCAACCATCTGCATATTATATTTACATTCAGCTCAAGATATCATGCATAGATTGGTTTTAGAGCATGCCTGTGAGCATTTGAAACTAACAATGATTTAACCAAGACTCTCCGTCTAAATACCCCAAATATTTGATGCATTTGGTCTTTAAAAAGCCTGACAAAATGATATCAAATATAATCATTTCACTCTACCAAAGTGCTAAAAAAAAGCATATTCTGTTTCTCATTGTCTCTTTCATTGACGTAAAGGACAGAATAAAGATAAAGAGCTTCAGAGTGAAGACAACAAAGACATAAGTAGATATCTCTTAGACACAAACAGATGCTGCATTCATGGACACATGTTTTCCGTACTCCTGCAGCCCATGGCGGTGACGGCCTGCTGCAGCTCCTCCCTCTGAGCGTCTGTACGGTCACTGACACAAACGTAGACTGTGGGCTGGTTGCTGCCAACTCCTTTACGTTTCTCCGCAACTAGGCAGGCAGTGTGGGAGACGGTGAGACCGGAGAAGCATCCCAACATAAGAACATCTCCTTCTTCTGGCAGCAGGGAGCACACGGCCTGTGGGCCCAGGCTGCAGGACTTATCCTACAGACACAATGGGTGAAAGCATTAGAGACCGTCAACACAATATGTCTACATTCAGGTTTTCTGCACAGCAGCAACACTCTGCAAAAGGAGACACAGATTAACATAGGAGATAGGAGAGGTGCTCTGTATGAAAGTTGTAAATGGAATTGAGGTGGGAATAGATGAGAGAGGTGAAGGAGCGTGGAACAGCAGTTGCAAAGCAGGTACGGAGGGGAGGAATACAGAGAAATGCTGAGAGTAACCGATCAGTCAGATTACAACAAAGATGTCCTTCAAACAGTGGGGTCCCTTCTGGAAATAGTATTGAATGATTCCCTGTGGGACCACCCGGCTGGCTTGAGTTTCATCAGTTAATATCCTTATGGTTGGTTTGTGAAGAAAGACAATCCAGGGTGGAGAAGAACAAGGACATTTGAACAGAGAGAAACTAGAGGAGAGAACATCAAATAGAGAGGGAGAGGTTATTCATTAGGCAGGGGTGTGGAATATGTGTATGATTGAATTGTGTTGCGGTGCTGTGCGCGGCTTACAGTTTGCATGCAAGCTTGACTTTAATGGAGTAGAAAATAAATGATGATACCGCTCTCCCCCTCCCGGACTGGAGGATTCCTTATGAATCAAAGTGAGGAATGGCCCGATGAGAGGAACTGATGTGAAATATTTGTATCTGAGAAAACTAATCTTAGTTGGCATAAGGGATCATTGTTATAATCAATTTGAGCAAGTCCATTACCAAAGTAAAATGGTGCTGAACAGATTTCCACAGCCATACAATCTGCAGAGAGGGGGGGGGGGGGGGGGGGGGGGGGGGCTCTTGTCAGATGCCTCCTCTCTGTGAAGCTTGTACCTGGATGATGAGTTTGTGGTTGCTAAGCAGCTTGGTGGTGTACAGCTGAGCTTTGAGCTGAGCAGGGAACACCAGTATATCCCCACAGTGGGGATCCTGGCAGAAGGTCTCGCCCTCCAGCTGACCGATCGATTTCACCTGTGAGAATCCCGCACTCTTCAGCACACTTTGGACCTCATCAAGGCTGTAGGAGAGGACAGAGGAGAGGAGATTAGTGGAAGCCCAAGAGAGGGAAGGAGGGAAGAAGGTGAGAGGTGGAAGAGAGAGGAAGACTGTCATTATGGATAATAATAGAGCGTAGAATTGTTGCGTGGCCTGTTAAAAGACTTTAGCAGTACAATGTGTTGTAAAAGCCATTAAGATACACACATGCGCACACACACACATACACACACCACTAGTCCCAACAGGTGACCTTTACAGTCCTACAGCTGGCTGAGGGTTGTTGCTGATTGAATCTGTCCACAGCAGCAGGATTTACACCTAACTGAATCAGCCTGTCGGGGCGCCTGAGAGAACACACACTGGACCACACACACAGACACACACACACGCTCACACACACTGTCCAGTGGTTTAATTGGATGTCAGCTGGGCACCTAGCCCATAAAACATTGGGCAGCACCCCAACTTAAAGGTCTCCGAGTAGATGCAGGTGTGTGTGTGTACATGCTAACACACACTCTTTATATGCTTACAGTGCATTCCTGGGTTTATGTACAGGTGTGCATTTACAGTACAGGTGTGTGTTATCTGCTCTGGTGAGGTGTGTGTGTGTGTTTGAGTGTGCTCAGCTTACCTGCTCTCCAGCGTGTTGACCCATGCATAAAGTGGAAGGCTGCTTGATCTCTCCTGCTTGGTCTTCAAACTCTCCGGCAGGATACACTCGATGGACAGGAGATCATGTTTGATCCTGCAGCGCGCCAGAGAGGCTGCCAGCTTGGTTTTAAACCTGCGTCCAACACACACTCCCTTTAGTAAATCCACTCCAAGTTTGGGTGCTTTATTCCCTGTGTCGTTTTTCATATCTTACCTAAGGAGGTACTTCTCCACATCTCTGACTTCCTGTTCAATCTCGCCGTCCCGTTGGCGTTCCCTTGGGAGAAACTTTCTGTCCTGGAAGTCGTAGAGCATGACGGCAACAAGGCACATCTGATCATCTGGCTAGAGCACGAGAAGAAATAAAGTATGGTTCATTGGTGACTTCTGTTTTAACAAGAAAGCAGAGAAATAGCTTGAATGAGTCGAGAAGCTGCATAATATAACAAATCAGATTTTTCATAAGATAACTGAGACACAATAATTTAATAAGTGGATGGTCAGACCTCAAAGATCAGTTGCAGATAAGATACAAGAACGTCAAAATGTGCATAAAACCAACACAGCTTGACATCGGTTAATAGTGTAATTTGTTTGTGGTTACCTATTGAGGTGCACAGAGCAGTGATTCTCATTATTTGTATTCATTTGGAGACGTATATATCCACACACATAGTCAGTATAACACTGTAGCTTAGAGATGTCCTGCCATGACCCCACTGCTACCACTTCATTAAACATAGGAGGAAGCTAAGTAATGTCTCTCCATCTCCTCCTCTGCAATTATCTCAATCCATTCAGCGCTCTCCCCTGTCTCTCTCTCTCTTTCTCTCTCTCCATGTCTATGTCCCTCTCTCTCACTCCACCTTTCTGTCCCTAAGGGTGGGAGGGCACCAGCCGCATTAGTGGCAGATGGTGTTCCGCAGCAGCAACAGCTTGAAACATTCTCACTAGCGGGCTAATGGGCCGAGAACAGGAACGCTACAAGGGTTTCTGCTGCAGCGAAGGAATTAGTCAACGCTTATTATTCATTCCGGAGGCTTTCAATTTCATTTTTGGGGAAAGGTCGTTTCCAGAGACGGAGTTGTGGCGCTCCACTTTTCCTTTCTCGACCTCATCCCCTCTGCCTTAAGTTCCACTTGTCCTTTACCAAGGTTAAACCCATGGGTGTGGGGAACTTCCCAGTCATTAAGTTTCCTGGCAACAGCACCCCGTGGAAAACAGGTCTCCAGTAAACATGCCTGCTGTGCTGAGTGCCTGCTATGAAATAAGAAATGAAGATGGCCTCACTTTATTTAGACTTATTTTCAATTGAATGAAATGACCATGACATGGATTTGAAAACAAAGTTAGTGCTAAAGCTAAAGTACTTAATAATAGATGGTAAAATTACCCAGAAGAATGTAGACATAGTTCAAATCTAATATAGCCTTTTTACATAATGTTGCTTACGGCTATTCCATGTGAAAAGTACCACCTAATAGGTTTGCCTCACATCTACAATGTCACTCATTTCCGTCCTCCAAAGGATTAAGGCTTCATTTTCTCATTCCATTCTGATCAAAGGCGCCTCAGGCTCTCTCAGCATGCAGGTCTATCTATAACTTCATTTTTTTTTCTTAATATCCTCATGTACCCCCCCCCCTTTCTCCAGCATGCCTATTCCCCGTCACCCACGTCTCTCTCGACCAAGGTTGAACTTTATAGATGCCAGCAGCGTAAAAGGAGGTAAGAGTGAGCGCTAAAGTCTGTCTCATTGTGTCTGGGCTTTATTGTCTCACTAGAGGGATGCAGAGTAACGACCTGCCACCAACACATAGGGAGACCCATTCATTTCACACGGGGCCATATTTCACAAGGCTGCAGTGTGAGTGTGTGTGGGAGGGGGCAGGTTGCTTTGCCAAGTAATGTGTGTGTGTATGTTTCCTCTGAAGTAGACATTGGCTGTCTACAGTCTGTACACTCCATGACAGATCGGTTTTCTGTTAACGCATTCAGCACCTCTTGCGTTCATGACTCTTCTCTCCATGTATCCGCTACGTGCACACAAACTAGGTCTGTGCATGTTTTATCGCCATCCAGACAGTCTGAGAAGCAGCTAAAGCAGCCCTCCTCTTTGCACAGCTTCTTTGTATGTGGAGTGAAAATAAAGTAGGGCAAAAGTACATGCCAATCTCCTCCAGAGGATGCTTTTTCATTTAAGAAGCAGAACGTTCATCTCCTGCCTAACAGCCGCAGGTACGGGGGCTGTGCCGGGATTATTTTTGTACGACTACGCAGCACAGACTTCGGATCGCTAATAACATTCAGCACACTGGTTCTAGGACACATGTAGGATAAACACTGTGCAGAATACACTCAGAAGCAACATCATCCAAACACAGTGCCCCTGGGTTGCTACTGCATTCTGATTTCATCCCTTATTAATGGGGAGTTTTCCTTGTCAAAGGTAATAAAGACAAGGCCAGGAATATTCTGCCTCAAAGTACCTTTTAGATGTGTTACTCCAAAGGGAGCAATTGTCATTGATTAGGGAAGGGAATATGAAAGACACGAGGTGCTTTGTGAGTGGATGAAAGGAGAATATCAGTGCAATACGTCAATATTACTGCTACTGATTAGAGGTCTAGAGAAAAGAACAAAGGGTATGTGGAGTGTAACAGCGGGTCATGAATATTGGAGAGCACTGAGTAAAGCACTGTCAAAGGATTGTGAGCAAAAGGGTTCAGAAAAACAGCTCCAGGTAAACAACGCTGCAAACAAAGTGTCTAGCTATTCTCAGAATCAAAAGGATGTATAAATGAAACACATAAATACACCAATGGATTAAACATTACTTCCCTTAAAGTATTGCTGTATTAAAATACATTGCTCCAAATGTACTGACTTACCATTGGCTGAGTGAGGTAAAAGCAGCTGTCAATCATGATGTCCTCCAGCAGCTCTTGATCTGTGCAGAAATGTAAAGTGATATAGAAGTGATTAGGCAGCATGGAAATGCGATGATGGGGATTTCCATTACTAATGATGTGTCTGAGTAATTACGGTGCATATCTGGGCCATCTTTTATATCAATGTCTAATTATCCTGAAATAATGCAGAAGAAATAAGTACTATCCATTTCTGGTAATATGCTACAGAGGACAAATCTATATCTAATGATGTGAATGTGTCTAGAAAAAATGGAGAAAATAGATTAGAACCAAGAGCAAGAGAGGCTCCTAGAGGCACCCCACATTTCATCTAAACGGATAATTTAATTAGATGGGGGGTTTAATTTGCCGTGATTAAACGCTTATTTGACGCTTAATTAGAGTTATTCTTCTTTTTCATTCGCCTCATTTCTTTCATTTATTTTGTCTGTTGTGGGCTGTGGGTAATTGAGGTACTTGTGACAATAAAGATATCTGAAGTAATACACAAGTCAAACATAACAGGCAAGCATGTATGTTATACCCAACTATATCGTGCCTATGTTTGTATGACTTGTTATCTTCTTTATTGTATTCAACATGTTACATACAAATGATGAAGTGGTGACTTGATTGACAAACATGACTGTCTTATCATCCATTTTTATATTATAAACAAACAGGACTTATTATAAAAACTTAAATAGGGTCCATCGTGTGAAGAATTGTTTGGGATATTACCTTTTCGTCCTTACTAAACAATGTATCTTAATCTAATCTTCTGTGGCCTTCTGTATGAAATCGGGAAAGAACACTATACATTTTAGAGGTTTTGAGCTGCCATTGGATCTGTATATGGCTGTCATATCATAAAGGCAGCATCCTTCTGTCTAGCCTACAGGATGCTTTTTCTCTGAAGTCACACACATACTTATCTCTTCCAATCCCATCTGTGAACAGTAGGCTTCCCTTTAAAATATGAGGGAGATGGAGATCTGGCAACATTATCCAATTTGCCACGTCAGGATTTAAAAACCGCTTCTTCCAAAGCCCCTCTGCCGGTACAGTGTTTGCTCATTACACACTGGAAATGGGCAAAAATATCATTTCGCTAATATGTTTCTAGTGAGGTTGAGATAAAGCCTTTTTGTTACTGCAGAGAGGTAAATAAAAGACGGTAATGAGGGTTTCATTTGTGTTAGTTGCAAGAACCCAGGGTTTCAACATCAATATGCTGGTGCACTTTGTTTGTGCACCACACGCGTGGTTTCCTTCTTGGTTCATTCTTATTCCTGACAGACAAACCTCTTAAAATGCAAAAATGAGTTGAGCCCAGCCTGTACGCTGAGACACCATGGAAACCACAGACACTGCTGTTAACTTATCACAACATCTCAAATCATGCAAACTGTACCCTGGGTCTCAGCCAAATGCATGCTGGGTAAAAGAGTGTGTAGGTCAGGACAAACACACACAAACGTTTGCATGTGTGAAATAGAGCTTATCTTTAAGTGAGGAAACAAATGCACCTCATCAGAAGTGGTATCAGTTTTAGCAGGTTCAGGTCAATGGGGTTTTCAATAGTGGCTATTACTGCAGAAGGCCTTTAAGATAAGCCCAGAAGAGATACACACTCAGTGCACACAGAGAGGCTCAGACCCCTGAGAGAGCCCTGATGGCTGGGTCTGTAGAGGTCACACTCTTCCGCATGCTTTAAAGCACACACAGTAGTTTGAGTAAAACACAGAAGTCCTAACTCTAGAAGTTGACATAAAATAAAAACAAATTATAATTATTATAACAAGAAAAAGCTTGAATCCTAAACCAGCAAGAGCCACTAGTTCAGTGTTGATGTTGTGTGGCTTCCAGGTATTCCACAATGAGCAGTGACTGATGTTGACTGCACTCAAACAAATCCTCAGTGAAAGAGCCTGACCTGAATGCAGACTCCACTTCTCCTGGCCAGGTTTCTGTCTCACCATGTTCCGCATCAGTGCACCAGATTGCACATTAATCTAACAAAGGACCTTACCGAAAAAGGGTATGTGCCTTAAAGTCACCTTTGGACTAAATGGCAAATCTATCTAACATATTATGCACCTGCTTTTATTCTAAATGTGCTGTGCCAAACTGGTGTTAGCTGTTCTGACTGTGGTCAAGGACAAAAATGTCTTTCTGTCTCTCATGCTCTAAATCCAACACAAAGTGGTCCAAAGAATGTTTATAGTTGCACACAGACCATACAGCAGCCACTGTCATCTGACAAGGGCGTCTGGCAGCCCAGCTGGACAGTATGGACAATGAGGCAGACATGCTCAGAGGAGTAGCCAGTGGAGAGAGAGAGGGAGGAGGAGGGGGGGGCGCTCTCATGGCCAGCAACAAGGTCAACTACTTTTGCCAGTAAATGTTCACACAAAAATAACTTAACATAGCTTCATAACAACCGCACATCACCTCAGGCCCTGAGAACACAAGGGGAAACAAATCAACAGGAAATGAAACCATGACAACATAAACTGCCTCTAGGTCAGTGATCAAGCACAGTCACTCACAACAGGATTTTTGAAAGAGGTCAAAGAAATACCAAAGCCCTGAAGATATAAAAAAGAGAACAAATGAAGTTATGGGAGACAGGGAAGAGAAGGCGAAACGACTTGACTGCTAATATTTCTCATTTGGCAAACTTCTGCTACGTCTGTCTACAAAATGCCACATCCAAGACACCAAGGAAAACATCTAACTTCCGCTCCATTGTTTAGTATTGACTGAAAATTACAGCAACGGTCAAGTCTGTGTCCTCAGCCAGTGGTGTGGAGCTTACTGAGGGTCTTTTTTGTTTTAAGCAAATAAGAGTTATAATCGCAAGATCAATACCAGAGCTCATTGGCATTTTGCTCTGCTTGTTTTCGCTGCTCAAGCTTTTCTTCCTCAGGTGAACAACTGACCTCAGCTCAATTTTGCATCAGTCATTCCAAGGCAGTGCACAAATGATGTGTCTTGTGTGTATGTGTGTGTATAATGTGTGTGACTGCCAGCATAGGTGTGTGTCACTTGCAAATCAATTTTTGCACCAGAAGTCAGGCTGCTCGTGGGAGGAGGAGGAGGAGGAGGAGGAGGAGGAGGAGGAGGAGGAGGAGGAGGAGGAGGAGGAGGAGGAGGAGAGATTAACATTGGCTTCCAGGCTGTCATTTCATCAACACCCAATTTCCCCACACAGCCAGCGCAAGTGAATCTTACATGTGACCAAAATACTTATGTGATCATGCAATTCAACGATCTCTATAGTCTCTATGATCAAAATAAAAAGATGTTCCATTGATTTGCTGTGCGATAACAACAGTAGAAACATAAACTGATTCAACCTCATTCCAAGGATGACTCCTACTTTGTTTTGTAAAGTGTTGTGTATGTAAAAAGCTTATAGGTAAAGATCAATACATGTAACCAGTGCTGGTATCTGCCTATCCTGTAAGCTATAATAATAACATCTGTTAAAGCTTGTTTCAGTACCCTATAGTGGCTGAAGCTTTCAAATGTACTAATTCTAGAAATGTCAGATGTGGGAGGGGGACCAAGAAGAACTGTATGAGTCTAGCACTGATAAGACAGGGAATATTTGTCTTTGAAATAAGCGCTGACGAAAAAGAAGATTCAATTCAACAAGAAATACAGCATATCGTAAATGTTCGAAACTCAAGCAGACAATTTACATCTAAGTAGAGCCCGAGATAAAAATGTTGATCAAATTGTTGCTGCAGTAACAGCAAATTCTTCTTCCTGGATAATGTATACAGACATACTCTATAGGTAGAAGAACATAGTGATGTATGACAACAATGTCCTGGCAATATGATCTTGAAGTTCTCTCCTATTAGTTTATCCTTAGCAATCTAGTTGATTTGACCTTGTAATGAGTGACCTACAGCTGAATAAATGATACTGCAGGTTACCGCAGCCTGGCCCAGCAATGATGGATATGTGAGGTGATCTGCATTAATTGTGGGATGTAAGCCTGAGGCTTTTCTAAGTCCATCGGAAAGATAGTGGGAAGGAAAGAAAACATTTGTGGCCACAAGGGTGTTCCTGCTACCTGACCTCTCTATCCACTGAGAACGTATTAAATCAATTCCAGCCAACTTCCTGCACTGACAGTCGGCTCAGCTCCTCTACCTTATCGCCATGGTGATTACACACCCCTGTGACTTCGGCCACCCAGACCCCACCCGAGTCCCAGATAACAGATTATGTGCTGGATTGATTTGTAGACTCACTCTAAATTCCCCCTGGTCATTCAAGCGTTTTTTCTCTTCTACTTTTCCTTCATCAATCTATCTATATCCAATTCTACCTGTCAATGAATGTCGACGAGCTATTCATTCTGATGTGAAACGGCCCTTTGTTTCCCTGGAATCAAATAGGCTTTACTTGCAATTTCAATTATCAACCTGATGGGAATGCTTGTTTTCATTTGTTATCATAACTTAATTTATGTGTGTGTCCTAAGGTGGTAAGTTAACTGTACAATCGTGGGGTTATCTTGTTTTGTTGTGAGTTCACCAAACCTTTACCTATCACCTATGTTGAAATGGCAAAAAGTTATTGAATCTTGAATCAACATAGATGGGGCTGAACATTCTTTGCTGATGTCCTCACTGCACAAGATCTCCAAAACACAATATAAGTGTATAAAGTGTGTAGGTATGTGTATGTTGACAGAGTAAAGAAAGATGGACGGTAAAAGGGAAAAACAGTAATGACAACAGTTTAAACATGCAACAAACTTCACTCTTCCAGTCATCTACAAACTCACATTTCAGTGTATTGAAGGCCAGCTCGTAGGCTGTGCGCTGCATCTCCTCATCTTTGACTCTGGGTAGGGAGAGTGCTCTTCCTTTGCCATAACTCACCAACCGTTGGGCAGGGGGCTTCTCCAGGTGGTGATTCTGGAAGATGAATGATGCAAGCAGGTAGACTCTGTCCGGAAAACCCAGCTGACCTTCGCTGATGGTCTGGAGCTCGGGAGAATTAGCTGGGATGTCACCTTCGGCTGGTTTATCTGGAGGTGTCAGGTCCTTGCTGCTTGAAATCTGGGAGCCAGCCTTTTGGTTCTTGCCCGTGGAAGAGCGATTGAGCCGCCCTCCAATATGTTTATTTCTCACCATCTTCTCCTATACTTTTTTCTCCCTTCCACCTGAAAATACACCAAGAAATCAAGAAAAATAGTCTACACTCAACGCTAACATTTATAACCTTGGTATACATTTGGATTGATCACATATGGTGCAAAGTAACTAAATAAATGTACTCAAGTATTGCACTTAGATACTTTTTTGACATATTTGTACTATGTAAGTACACTGAACAAAAATATAAACGCAACACTTTTGTTTTTGCTCCCATTTTTCATGAGGTGAACTCAAAGATCTAAAACATTTTCTATATACACAAAATAACCATTTCTCTCAAATATTGTTCACAAATCTTAAAAAATCTGTGATAGTGAGCACTTCTCCTTTGCCGAGATAATCCATCCCACCTCACAGGTGTGGCATATCAAGATGCTGATTAGACAGCATGATTATTGCACAGGTGTGCCTTAGGCTGGCCACAATAAAAGGCCACTCTGAAACGTGCAGTTTTGCTTTATTGGGGGGGTCTGGGGGGTTCCGAAAACCAGTCAGTATCTGGTGTGACCACCATTTGCCTCACGCAGTGCAACACATCTCCTTGGCATAGAGTTGATCAGGTTGTTGATTGTGGCCTGTGGGGTGTTGGTCCACTCCTCTTCAATGGCTGTGCGAAGTTGCTGGATATTGGCAGGAACTGGAACACGCTGTCGTATACGCCGATCCAGAGCATCCCAAACATGCTCAATGGGTGACATGTCCGGTGAGTATGCTGGCCATGCAAGAACTGGGATGTTTTCAGCCTCCAGGAATTGTATACAGATCCTTGCAACATGGGGCCGTGCATTATCATGCTGCAACATGAGGTGATGGTCGTGGATGAATGGCACAACAATGGGCCTCAGGATCTCATCACGGTATCTCTGTGCATTCACAATGCCATCAATAAAATGCACCTGTGTTCGTCGTCCATAACATACGCCTGCCCATACCATAACCCCACCACCACCATGGGCCACTCGATTTACAACATTACCCTAACCCCTACCCCTCACACCAGATACTGACTGGTTTTCGGACCCCCCCAGACCCCCCCAATAAAGCAAAAATGCACATTTCAGAGTGGCCTTTTATTGTGGCCAGCCTAAGGCACACCTGTGCAATAATCATGCTGTCTAATCAGCATCTTGATATGCCACACCTGTGAGGTGGGATGGATTATCTCGGCAAAGGAGAAGTGCTCACTATCACAGATTTTTTCAGATTTGTGAACAATATTTGAGAGAAATGGTTATTTTGTGTATATAGAAAATGTTTTAGATCTTTGAGTTCATCTCATGAAAAATGGGAGCAAAAACAAAAGTGTTGCGTTTATATTTTTGTTCAGTGTATTTACATTTAACATTAGGCCTATACATTACATATATATACATATACTTCTAATTGTACACAAATAACAACACATGATATGCTGATATGATATAATGCAATACTGTACTACTAATCAACATAATTTCTAAATTTGGTTGAAATTGACCGACTACCACACTAAAATGCTTTTGCATATGAAAAACAGGATCATATTATAACTATTATGATAAAATACTGTGAAAATATCCATTCTGCATAACGACTAGTTTTACTTTTGATACTTGAAGTATTTTTAGCTGTCATTGTGCATAATTAGTATTTTTACTTTTGGTTCTTTTAGTAGGCTACATTTTGATGTTAATAAATGTGTACTTTAACTTAAGTAGCCTACATTTTAAAATCACACCTTTTACTTGTAGTGGAGTATTTTAAGACCATAGTATTTGTACTTTACCTTAGGGATATGAGTATTTCTTCAACACTATTTATCATCAATAACAGTATATTTTCAGTTATTTGCTTTGTTTATTTTAGCAAGGATGTCCTGTTGGTTGGTTGGTTGGTTGGTTGGTTGGCATGACATTTTGACTAGGTAAGTAAGGTAACTGTAAGTAAAGTAAGGTTAGTTAGTTATTAAATATACACCTGGCTGAACTTTTAGGAACTAAATATAACTGTAGTTCCGCTAGCTAACTCGGAATGGTTAGTTAAACTTAGCTTAAGTAGCTAACTAACCACGGCATTGCTTAAAGCTAACCAGGCTGACGATAGCAGTGGTGACCAAGGCAATATTTCCGTGTCAATCCGTTTACCTTATGAGAAGAGGATCCTCTTTCCCCCCCAGTAGATATATTCCAGGTATCCTGGGCTCTTCATATTGAAGTACGAACCGTTAGTTCTACTGTTGGTCCTTCTGTTAACCTTGACTCAACGCAGAGTTTTAACTGCCAAAAAAACCCCATTAGTTATAAATCAGATCCGTTAGGAGGCGATGGGCGTCTCCACCGATGTGACCGATCCCCACCGCTCCTATCTTTATTTGAATATGTTTCTAGTAAAGGAAAGTGTTTTAAGTCTTTAGGTAAAGAGCGTAGTGTTTCCACTTAAACCCAAAGTTTCTAAATGTCCGTAAACATTGTGGAAGACTTTGGATTAGCGTGTTTCCATCACCATGGCAACAACATGTTAATTTTAAGGTCCTGTTCTTCACGGATCCAAACATGGATGTCCTCTGTCTATCTGTTTACAGAGCATTGTGTCAAACCAGAGCTAAAGACAATAAATGGTGGACAGTAATAATACATCAAACTAAATCAGTTGCAGATGCCATGCAGCTGCTGTTTCAAAACACATGGACCATGAAGGAAATTGAGATGAAAATGAGATTATTGCTATGGTAGTTGGGTGCAAGGTTGGCCATAGGCCTAGATATCAATATTAATTGTGACACTTAAAGCCTATAATATACATTACAACGTTGTATTATCAATTGTATTATTTGTATTATTGCATATGTTATAGGGTATGATGTATTTTTCATATTGATAGCATTTAGGAACGAATTTGGTTCAGTGTAAAATGTTAAACTAGGTCTGCAATGTTGCTGTAGCTTAATTTATATTGCGTCAATGTAGTGAGACACATATCTCAGTTGAAATCAGCCAGCATGGTTATAATTATAATTTTGAAGCGGGACTAAGTGTGCACACATACAGGCAAAATATCCAGGTGCAAGGCAAACAATAACTGCAGTGTACAAATGTGGACAGCACACTTAGTCTAAAATAAATTGTTTTTCAGAATCTTTTTTTAAATTTATGATAATGTACTATAAGATATTCCTCAATCAAGATGGCTACACCGATCAGACCTCCTTTGTGCCATACTATTATGCTTTGACCAGCACTACTTTGAATCTGTCTAGTCAAATGTCTTCAATATGACTCTCATTAACACTTGTGTCACATCATTTTGTATATTGTATATGATGTTTCATTTGTTTGCAGTTTTGTATATTTTTACCAAAGCTTATTTAAAAGGAAAAGTTAAATTACATATTTTTGTTCCTAAAATGCATCCAGTTAAGTGTAAAATTAATTAAAATGTTTATCTAATGGTTCTAATAAAATTAAGAATAACGTGCAATTTAAGTATAATGTTACTAGTCACAATGGTGAACAAAAGTGATGTATTACAAATATACTTAATGTATTAAAGGTAAACTTATTCAAAGGGAAAAATGGCCATTCTTGTCATATTTTACTTTTGTATACATAGTATTATATTATCATATTATTTTTGATGAATGAATTAACACGTCAGCATCTATTAATGTTGTGGCTGGTTTTGTAAATAAGCTTTACATGCTTTTAGTAAAAATTCAATGTAGTATGAAAGTGTAAAATAGCATTAAATGGAAACAATTTTGTAGGAGCCTCAAAATTGTACTTCAGAACGACAATTGAATGAAACTTAGCTCTGGTCCACCATGTCATTTGTGAATACATGGTATCATCACAGTGATTTTCCCATTCCGTTTCTAAATCTGAGAGGTTATGGCTAATGCCTCTTTATGTGAAATTCTGTAAAGCACTTGCCAATTTCCACAGCAGCAGTTTTTAGTGCCTGAGCTGCTCTGCCTGTCCAAATGACATGGTTCACACTTTTCTTTGGTCTCCCATGGTGATTACAGCCTGCCGTGGCCCCTGCACCTCGCTGAGCTCTAATGGGAAGCAATGCAGTAGCTTCTCTTAGACAGGAAATGTAAGATTGTCTCAAATATAGCCCATCACATGCATCATGACAATCCCTTTTGGAGAAAAGGATACAAAACATTGACTCCTCTGCCCATTTGATTTCTGGGACTCAACAGAATAATCAACAGGCGTACTAACTGCTGCCACAGCATTTTTTTTAAACTAACTTTCATTTATAGCCTTCATATTTAATTATGGAAATTCAGTGATGTATAGTCTCCACACGATAACCTGGAGGTGTAATAAATAGTCTATTCATTTTTCACCCCTCAGTGGTGAAGTTTTGTGAGTAAAGGATGACAGAGGGAACCGTTCTGAGGTGCAGATCTTATGCACTCATGTTGCCACACTGAGCTTCAAACACCAAGCTTTGGGGCATCCACCATATGTGGGAAATGAGCGCCCTCTACTGTTGGATAAGTGAATTATGGGGGGAAATCTGAGAGAGATCATTGGTTTCAGTTGATACCCGTCTGAGTCTTCTATTTATTGCATTCCTTATCTACTATTGTGACTCATAAAGAGTTATAGGAACAAGGGAGGACATTATACATCAGTCTATGAAAAAGTACAATATTTCAATTTAAAATCTAGATGAGTAGACGTATAAACTTGCATAAAATGGAAATATTTAAGTGAAGTAATGGTACCTTACAGATGTAATACAATATTGGTTTTACATGTGTCCCCTCCTATTCTTCTCACCTACAGTTGAAACACACACTTGACTTTCCAAGTTCAAGATATGGGTTATTTTAGGGGGTGGGTTTTTCGAGTGTGCTAGGTGTCTTACATAATTAATGCTCCATATTACCTTACATCCTCACTTCCCTGGTTGCGCCATAAACAATGCTTGCTCATTAACTATTCACTGGATTATTTCGAACAGAGAAATGTTTCTGCAGATCCAGAGTGTGCGCTGACGCTCAGCCCCAGGCGTCTGATTTCATAGTGGTGAATAAGTCATGTACTGTCTCCATTGGTAATATTTTACCTTAACAGAATATCCCCTTACATGTAATCAATGGTTAGTTGGTAAGGTACCTGCATATTAAAGCCAGGCTTGAGGGGGATGGTAAAAAGCTGTATATTTACAAGATTCTATCAGTAGGGAAGAGGTCAAAAATATCCAATATGCAAGCAGAGTGGGAGCAGAAGCAATTACTTAATAACAAACATTATTGTTGTTTCTAATCCCCTGATTTCCTTTCATTATAAATTATGTTCACCACCGTGATAAAGTATATTGGCATTGTCTGGCCCATTTAGTTTTAGATAAATACCAAATAATGTTACATTGCTATGTATAGGACATTACATAATTATGTTTGTAAGAAATCATAGCTTTTAACATTATTGCTAATGTTTAAGAGTACAGCAAATGCTGTATGAAAAACAGTGAAGAAAAAGAAAATGTGTTTATTTTCACATCACTTTAATCTGTACTGTTATTATTAAATCGTCACACTTTTCAACATAAGTTTTTATAAAAAGATTACAATAGTCGCTTATACTTTTTTATTTGACCTAACTAAGTCAAATAGAAGTGCAACATCACGGTGCCTTGCCAATGATGAGGATGCTCATGAGGAAGACCATGATGAAGAAGATCCACATGAAGAATCTGTCCATCACCTTGGCGATCTTCTTCCACTCAGCCCCTTTGGCACATGTCGCCCTCTGCTCTCGAAAACATTTAGCAATATATTCTACATTGCGCACCAGCTTGGTGTCCGCACCAGGGAAGCCACTGCCATGGCTGCAGAAAATGCAAGGGCCGAAAGTAACGCAGGGGCTTTGAGGTGGGGCTTTTTGTCTTCGGGACAGCAGGGCAGCTTTTGGTCTTCAGGGTAGCAGGGGACCTTCTGGTCTTCTTTAAAGCAGTCACCTGTGGGGATTTTGCCATTAGAGCCCTCATATTTCCCCGGTGTGAAGCTTGAGAAGTGACTCCCCTCGTCTCTGGTGATGTGGGGCTGGGCCTTCACTTGGGGGGGATGCTGCAGCTTGGGGGTCTGAGGTCTGGGGTATTTGCGACCCTGCCAATCCTGTTCTGTACTGTGGCTTCCTGGTTTACCATTAGCATGAATATGAGAGTTAAGGTGCTGATTGCAGATGTCCTCCTGGGGGAAGTGGGGAGAGGAAGAAGAGGAGGAGGAAGAGGCGCAGTTCTCGCCCACCTCATAAACAAAACAAATCTTGGACATATAGTCAATGATGAGGACTTTAGCCCACTGGGGGACAGGTTTGGCCTCCGCACCACAGAAGTGGATGTTCATGATGAAGATGGTGAGAGATGTGGAGGCTGTGACCATGGTCATAGTGGCAATGTAGTACTTCCCTGGGTAACAGATAAAAGCAAAACAGATAGGGGTGAAGGTTGCTCTAAGAACTACAGTAAGAAGAACAATATTTCCTTAAATGTTGTCATCGTTATTTAACTTTGGTATTTTTCTGTGGAGATTTCTCTGAAATATAAAGCCATGTTTTGATGCATGATTGCAAGTCACCTTCTAAATCTGCTATACATATTGGCTTTAAAAAATCCTGTTTCTTTTTTTCCTTATTGCTATTTTATCTAGAACATCTTTTTTCAGATCCAGATTTCTGTACATGTATTCAACTCTTCTTCTTTCTTCTATAATAATGACATTATTGAATTGTTTATTGTTTGTGTATGTTTAATCACTCTCGGTGCTTTGGATAAACCACAGCTCCAAAGCAGAGCTTGTTTCCTTTCGCTGTGCATGATGTATAGGGATATGGCTTCTACTTTTAAAAAAGTGTGACCTGACCAAGTTCCAAGTAGAAATGAAACATATTCATAGCAATTTGTACACCTTTGTTGCATGAAGTAATCGTGCATGCATTTATTTTTGTTTAGTTTGAACAGAATGCTAATCAAACACTCTTACCTATTAGGGGCACACTCTCAGATGGAGGCATGCTCTCGGCCACCATCAGCTGGAACACAGTGAGAGCCAGCAGAACGGTCACTCCCAGGGAAACCTTCTCCCCAGAGTCTGCAGGCAGGTAGAAACCCAGAGGAGCCAGGAAGGAGATGAGGAAGCAGGGGAGGAGGAGGTTGAAGATGTAGAAGGAGGAGCGGCGCTGCAGGAGCACTGTGTAGGTGATGTCTGGATACGGGTCAGAGCAACAGCCGTACATGATCACGTTCTTTGTGGCTGGCATCCCGTGGCACTCCCACTCCACATTCTCCACAAAGTCTGACAGGTCACCGCTGTCCATGCCCATAATGATGTCTACCTGGAATGAGAGTAATGAGTGATTGAGACTACATGAGGCTCAGCTCCACCCACACACAAACACACACTTGTGTACAGTATGACCACATAAATAATGGCTCTATTTATTAGTCTGAAAATGTGCTTGCTAGCTTTATTTAGTGATCATTTACAAACCTGATTGCCATTGTAGGTCCAGGAACCAAAAGTCAGGTTACATTCCTGGCTGTCAAAGGGAAAGTAGGAGACATCCACCACACAGGAGCTCTTGGTTATGGCAGGAGCATCCCAGGTTATCTCTCCATTGTAACGCAATTTCACATTGGTGTCCATCGGCCCTGAGGAGTCATCATCGGCTCTGGAGGAGGAAGAAAGACTTACTTAATCACGTGTTAGTTGGTTTAATCAATGTATGCTTTAGAGGCTGAGTTAACTGTGTATTACATGCACCCTCGCTGCGAAGGGGACCCAAGTTCCCATCAGCAAAAACACGTGGGTTTGCTATCCTGGCTCCTAAATGGTGGAATGAGCTCCCCATTGACATCAGGACAGCAGATAGCTTACACACCTTCCGGCGCAGACTGATAACTCATCTCTTTCGACTCCACTTCGAGCGATAGAACTATTAACAAAGCACTTATATACTAATAAAGGGCTGGCTTATCTAAAGCCAGTTGAGTAGCACTTGAAATGTTTTAGCTCTATGAAGCCTGATGTACTTATATGATTCTGTTTTCTTCAAGTTTGTATTTTGTTGGTCGAACGCACTTATTGTAAGTCGCTTTGGATAAAAGCGTCAGCTAAATGCAATGTAATGTAATGTAATTACATCTTTATACTACGCAAATTCAACAGTCCTACAATAAAACATTCACTTATAAGAATAGGATATTCAGATTGGTGCCTCAAAAATGACAAAATAGTTGATTCCACACTCTATGATCACTGATACATACATTTCTTACTAGCCTGCTAAGCAACTGTTAACTCAGTATATATATCAACTTTGAGTGCATTGTATATAGTACATGATTATGGCCACTTTAATAAAGACATTACAATATAATACGTACACTACATATCCTATGACATAATATGCACAACAGTACTTAACTTCCTAACACAATATGTAGTCTGAGTAAAGCATGATGTAATTTTTGTATGTGATTGACTTCATACAAAAACATTTGTGTACATATACTGCATCTTTACAATAGATTCTGATTTCCTTTCATTAAAATCCTTTGCGCCCTTGAATATTGCTAGTAAGGCTGTGAAAGTGATGCGCTCTGAAGGGTGAATGTGCGTAATCTTGCCTCTTACGGCAATTAGTCTTTTAGCACAGTGTCCTTAACCAATTAAAATGAGGATTTGCTTTAATAACGTGTGTGTGGGGGTTGTGCATGCTTGTGTGACGCACGGCGTACTTGTTATAGAGCACGAGGTCGGGCCTCCACACAAGGCTGCTGGGGATGTGGATCACCTCCAGTCCGTCATAGTCCTCTTTATCCCACTGCAGGTAAGTATCATGCCACGTCTGCCTGATCCACAGATAAGCAATCAGCACCTGGTTCCTCTCATCCTATACACACACAGGTCAAACAATTGAGAACAGACACACACACCACACACACATACTAACAGCAGTTTAAAGAGAGATTTTCTTGGTCTCTCTGTTGTTCATTAACTCTGTGTGAGATTTGAGGGGTTCAGATTATCACAACAGCTGAAATCAAGACCTGTCTATCAATATCAGGTGGATGAGCAGAGTCTCTTCCTGAAGGAGTGGATGGGGGTAGTTTTGGTATCGTTAAGCGATCAATGGAAACGTTAACACTTTGTGTAATAAGAAACTCCAACACACACACACTTAACTGTTTCTGGCCCCTCTTCTAAATCATAACAAACTAACATCAGGCATCACAGTGACATCACGTTTAGTAAGAGAGCCATCTTCTCTATTCTGAAAACACACAAACACACTAACACAAACAGACACACACAACACAAGTACTAATTCACTGTGGGCTGACACGGCAGTGAACCTGAACAGAAACATGAGCCAGCTGAGTAACAGTAAGCCGGGCCTGTACAGTAGGAGGTCTGTCTGTCAGTCACACACATCTGCATCAACACACTCATCCTATGGAAACCACTGTTACAGTGATGTTAAAAAAAATTCCATACTCAATATGTATGTTTTCAGTCCTTGTTCAGAGCATGGTGTTAGTAGTAAAATCATCAGGGATTACAACTTGTTAGTTTAAATAGGTAACCAGGTTTGCAATGTGACAAACTGATCGTCCAAGAAATGTTTTGTTGACTTGTGATTTTTTTAGAGTGCTATGATGAAGAATGAGGTTTCAAAGTCAGATAAAAGGCGTCAAAATAATATTTAAAAAACGTATCTAGTTCTTATGAGTATTATACCTCTGCAGTTGAGATTTAATATAGGAGAGCTACATTCTTTCACTTTATAAAGTTGTTTTGCCAGCCTATTCTCTGGTTTAGAGAAATATGGTTTATTTGACCATCAAAATCTTACCATAATATTTACTAAGCACTGTAATGAGTGATGATGAGTTTCGGATCTTGCCTAAGAGCTGGTACCCACCATGTCTTTGATCTGAGAGAGGGTGATCTGTAAGGTGACGTTGAGGGCTCTGTCCGTGTCCTCTACAGGCCGCAGAGCGCTGGAATAATTCTCCATCAGATCATTCAGGAGCTTGTGAGCATAATGACCCTGAGCCGAGTGGGCCACTGGAGAGAAGAGACAATGTGATAGGTACATTTCAAGTTTGACAAAAAAACTACAGAGATTTCTTATTTATTTTTGTACCAACAATGAAATAGAGATGACTCATGAGGCTGCTGTGTAGAACCGTTACCAATATGGAGAAGTCACATTGATTGAAACAGCACCTTAACGTTGTCCTAATTATGCATTTTATTTAATCTTAACCGTTTAATATAGATGTATGATGACTAAATATTTTTTATTCAGAAAAACAATGCAATTAACATTGATAAATGTGTGTGTACAAGTTAGAAACACCACCATTTCTTGAACAAATAATTCACAATAGCACCCAGATCCTTTTCCTGCAAGCAGAAGTCTGACTCACCTTCAGGGAGCAGCATCGCCAGACAGATTATTGGTATCATCTTGATCATGTAGTAACGTCTCCAAAGAGTAATAAAAGGTGACTGCAAGAGCAATAATCATCCCCTGACAGGCCTACATGCCGCCCGTTCGACCCCAGTTGAACTCAATTGCAGATAGCAGGGCCTCGTTTCATGAGAGCGTCCTCGTGGTCAGACTGCCTCTTACTGCTTGGCAGGGGAGCCAGCATCTCTGCCGAGACACGGAACAAAACTCCTGCTATCACATAGCAGCAGAAACAGGATGCCTACGAGTCATTGACTCACCAAACACACTGGGTCTTTCAGCTGTCAATCAAACGCCTGCAGCCAGGTGAGCTGCCGACCTGCTCCAACACCACCCCGCCGACTTTAGGAAGATATGAAGGAAATGAGATGGGGAACTCAATCACTCAAACATACAAACAATGATCAGGTTGGGCTAGAATAATATCATGACTAGTTCTTTGCATGTTGAAACAAATAAACAGTTACATTAGTCATGTTTCTTAATTGTAAAGTGACAATAAAAGGACATATTTCACTTTCTGCAAGTTGTCGTTCTACAATAAACGTTGCAAATCATATTTTTTATATAACAACTACTCTACTTTTTCTTTTCTTTTGGTTGAAGTTAACCCTTTCACGCATAGAGGTCACTAGAGTGGACAGCTATTCAAAAAGGTGTTTCTTGTATATGCATGGGTTTTATGCATAGACTGTATAGTTGCACCATCAGCCACTACATAGGACCTTATTGCATCATCCCATACACTGCTACTCAGTGGAAAGTCAGTGCAAGTGCATGATAAATGTCTCTAAACCAAGATGGACGACAGAAAGCCAGATGGACCAAGTCACCTGCCGATATCCTGCCAATCCTTTCATGGAAAGCGCTCCCTGCAGGTATAAAACATTTGGTGACATCAAGTAACAACTAAGGAATCATATAATTCATAAATTGTCAAAGTATTGATTTTATGTTTGCAGGAAATCATGATTATTCGCCTGTCCACTAAAGTGGACTTCATGCATCACTGGCTATATTTCAACAAAAATTCATACTGTTACTGCTACTGTTCTTCTTGAAAATACTTAATTTGCAATATCTTTTTGGGCCTTAAATATATATACCTAAGTTATTATAATGTAATTTTAAGTTTGCACGTAATTTAAAGTTAAAATCTTGTTTTTCATGCCCCAAGAGCAATGAAAACACTTGGTAAAAAAATCCTGAGTGAGGCTTTCATAATTCATGCATGAAAGACACCAGGAAGTGAAGTTGTTTAAACAAATTCACCAAAAAACGACAAAGAAAATACATATTTTCTATTATATGTGAAAGATTGATCAATTGTCATGCCCCTCTTGAAGTTTAAACTACATGTGTTGTCTTATTTGATTTTGGTTATTTTCTGTCACATTTGTACTAACTTATTTATTCTGTTGAATGTTTTGTGTAATCGCGCCCATATTGTATTATTGTCATTTAGGACTCCCTGAAAAAGAGATGGTACATCTAATACAAACTTTAAAGTAACAGATATACCCTCTGTTAAATCACAGGCACTATATATTTCCCAGCGACAATATACTGTGGCTGTTTGTTTTCTAACATCTCCAAACATCTAAATTAGTTTAATCTAGCATAGCTGTAACAAAGTGTATGAAGGTATGCTCTGTTGAAGAGAGTCTAAGGAAACTTCAAAACACTAAATAATGCAACTTAATTTATTTGCATTTTAAAAGCACAGAGCGGTTATTATAGCAGCAATAGATGAGCCAGGAAGCATGCTCCTTTTCCGGTCTGATGTATTCCTCCGTGTGTGGAACACTTCTCTCTGCTCTGGGATGCCTGAAGGACTTCCAGATGCTATAGAGATACGACAGCATCCAGTGGGAGGGTATACATGAGCTTTTGTCACTCCGGATGCCTGAGGTGTACTGCTGCAGCTAAATCCATTGTTAAATAGTCACTAAGGTTTTAAAGGATCTCCACTACAAGCTGCTGATTAGTTGACAAACACATCAATGGCAGATTTTCTCCTGTTAGGAGCGAGTATGCAGGCTGGAAATCTGTGTTCAAATGATTGCCAGGGATTCTTGGAGGCACAACATGCCACCGGGCAGGCCATCTGTTTGTGTGCTCATTCCCAGCATGCCTCACTACAAGCCAGGTGATCTGAGCATTTTGATAAGTGCCTATATCACTTAATTGTTGACACTCCAAACAAACAAGAAATATGATTATGTAAACCAGGAAACGCAACAGCAATGCAATACTACTGTACAGAAAGGCAAATACATAATACTGTACATTCATCAGTTCTTCTGCATGCACATTCTTCATCTAAATTGGCCTTCTTGCTCCTTTTCCACCGGCAATGTAATTCCCTGTGGGTTCAATTTATGTTGGTCTTGTAAATATAGTGCCTCAGCCTAGTTTTTATTCAAATATATGCACAGTCTAACAAACTCATTAACACACGTTGGATCATAAACACCAACATCTATAACGTTTTATATAATTTATTTTATATTTATCAATATTGTGACTGATGTTAAACTAATAAGAAACTGATTGTCTTATGCTGTATGAACATAACATTGTTGCCAGGTGGTTTCTTGTTGCTGTTGGATTTGTTAAAGTTCCCTAGGGGAGGGGGAATTATTCCATTTGATAAATATCACAGAGCTCAGCAAAGACATGTGACAGAAAGGACAGAGTGTGGATTAATTTACACAGACTTTAATATCTTTATTTACAGATGAATCATTTTTGACATATTTATCTGTTGGCGTAGTTAAGATGATGCAATATTTCAGATCCATTTTGAACTATTTCCATACAGACTTGTGACAGGTTGTGTTACTGCTGTTTCTTTTGTTTTCTTTCAGTTTAAAAACAAGAATTCAAATGTATTCCTGCAGGAGGCCAAAACCAAGTAAAAGTAAAAAAAAAATGTAGGGGAAAAGGGACAGGTGGAATAAGCCAGGTCAAGAAATAGGTGTGGGGATGGAAGCTGGGGTTTGCTGCAGGAGCTTCGGGTTATTCAAACAGTTGAAGTGGGAGAAATCGAGGCGTGAAAACAAGTATGGCTACTGTGTGTGAACACCTCAGTGACACTTTATGAGCTGTTGTAATACTGGGAATAAGCCTCGTCCTACAGTGTGTCTGTATAACTTCTTGTTTGCTACCTGGTGCACTTTACTTACTTTCCCACAAGTGAAGGAAGTGATGTTAGACACATCGCAAACACATTTCATTTTAAAGATGTGATGTAGTAGGACTCCGCCCATTCCCGCTTAGAAAACAAACTATAAGTGTGTAAAAAATCCCCAGCGGGTGGAAAAGAGCCTCCTTGAATGGCTTAATTTGCTCCTAGAAATGTTTACACGCGTGAAATTAAATGCACTGCATAGGCTAAGCCGCTGACAGCCGCTTCTTGGACACAGCCAGACGAGCCGGGGGAGTGGCAGGCGTGGGCCGGGTCTCAAGTCTGGCATCTCGCTTCAAAAGGGGGCGAAGATGTGTCTGAAGTCCTCTGAATGTAGCGGAATGTCGAATTGAACATAAAGAAACCAGAGCGACTGATTGGAGTGATGTACAGCAGAATTGATGAGCATGGAGGGGGGGGGGGGGGGGAAGAGGGAATGCGTGGAGGTGAGGAGTCCACGTGAAAAAAAGAGGGCAACAGGGAAAAAGACGCCTTCAGACAGCGGGAATTTGGAGGAGAGAGGGGGTACATGTGTGAGGAGGGGGGACAGTGATAAAGAGGAAGATGAAGAGGGTTGTCAAGATTCAGTTACTGAGCAGGAGCTCTGTCGCTGTCTCCACGTCCCAGGACTTCGACGACAACGCCACTATTACTGCATTCTGGGAAGAAAAAACAGAAACCATTCAGAAACAGTTTTATTCTGCAGCAGAGTTCAGTCGTGCAGCGCACAGTGGGGGGGGAACCAAGTTCGAGAGATACTTACTTTTTCAAAGCCCATGGCACAGAGTTTGTCTATTTTGCGTGTGTACTCCGGACTTGAGACAGGAGCGCCTGCATAGACATGAGACCAGAGCCTCGCTGTCTGTTTGAACATCTCTGGGTTCTGCTTGTACTGCATGGTGAAACAAAGGGTTAGAACCTACATACCTAACCTATGTAAGAAAGGTTGAACGTTTTGTTTAAAGGGGCTCAGCATATCATCATCAGATACTGGCACATACTCAGTATAAATCTCCCAGCACAAATGCACATACGGGAAAAGTAGTGCACTTATGATCCATCTTTACTATTTTGTATGCCTGACTGTCTCAGATTGCCAATAAAATCATTTTGAGGCTGCTGAGACATTTAGAGCCAGAGGAAGTAGATCTGCCAGACAGATGTTTCTGCCCAGCAGTTGCCATGCATGTTTCAAATGTAATGCAGGTGTAAATTATCATAAACTATTACAATATAAAACTGGACTCTTTAAATTCAAAAAGGGGTTATTAAGCAGTACAACCGTTTGAAAGATAGTGTTGGTGCTGCTGCTGCTATAAGATCTATCTTATCTAACCTTATTTCACTCCGTGTTTCATTGGGATGTGGGCAGATTAGCAATAGATGACTGTTACTACACAACAAGGATTAGTGATCGTTTGTAGGTGTTGGATAGAATAATAAAATCAGGGAGGGTGCTAACAGCTGACTGCCTACACATTATATTTCACAACAGTTTCACTGTACTAGCAATAGCACTGCATATTGTTTAACCTGTAACACTTCATCAGTGTGCAGCACAGAAAGAAGAAGAATGCATCCACTTATTTACAGCAAGGTGATTTGAGTTAACAATCCAGGATCCTACAGAAGAGAACACTAAATAAATATATGAACCTACTCCTAACTAACATCAGAGTGCAATCATGATCAATATTTCCTTTTAGTCAACATTTTGGTAGCGCATCACTTGTCCTGTCAACATGAGAGGGGCTGGAGGTCTAAGTAACTAAACACAATGGATTCAAGGCACACCCATATTCTATGGTGAGTCCCAGGGCCATCATTTTATATTCATAAAGACTTGAGATGTATTATATTCAGTACATGTTTAGTTACTGTGTGCCAACTAAATATTGGGTTCTGTGTAACAGTTATTTAAAGAAAAAAAAAGACAATTTCAAGACAACTATAAAAACATCATAAAAATTAAGCAACTGTTCCTTAATTATGGAAAACTGTCCATGACCGGGGCAGATGTGTGAGGTGAATATCATAAACAACATCTTAGAATAAAACTTGTTTACATCTAGCTAAGTCCAAAACAGAAGTCCCTGACACTGCCAGAATTATATTACATGACATATATATATATATATATATATATATATATATATATATATATATATATATATATATATATATATATATATATATATATATATATATATATATATATATATATATATATTATATGACAGCTCTGTAAGGTCATGAAACATGAGTCATGACGAACACATCAACACTGTCGTAATATGCTGAGTAATCTTGTTGTTATCAGTTAAGAACAAAATTGATCAGCCAACTGTAATTAAGGAAAAAGATTGAGCTATATCGAAGTATTATAGTAACCAAATCTCAGAAAATATGTCAGCTTCAAAAATGATGACGATCAAATCCACAGTAAATCTGTCAAACTAAAATCAAACACACATGCACACCCACCTGATTGGCTACCACTGCGTCCTGTGGATCATCTGGTTCTGCGGCTGCCAATAAGGCTTGTAGTGACAGGAGGACCGTCCTCAGTGTCATAGCTGCTGCCCTGGAACAACATACAGGAGACTGTTTAGTGCAAATTAAGGACAACTTTCCTCAAGGCAACAGACGGATGTGTTTCCCCAAGAGTTTCTGTTACTGCATGGGATGCTGTAGGACTATTTTTCAATACTAATCATGAAAGTGGACAAGCTAGTTTATATACAGGGTTTGAAAACAAGGTTTGCCACAATAAGCCTATCACTTGCTTATTCAGGATAGTGATACAAAAATAATTAAACACACCTTTTGTTTACAGAGCTGATGATGAAAGTTTCCTTCTCATTACTGTTTATATTTGTACATGTAATGGGCAGTCCCGATCGAGCTCTCGCAAAAAAGAGCTGGCAGGTAAAGTAGAAAGTTATTGAGCCAAAGAGCAAGTGAGCATTAAATGATTCTGGAAACAGACGTTTAGTAGCGTGACAAAAGAGGATCTAAGCACAAGTCCAGATTCATTTACTGAAAAGATATTGTATAGGGGCTAAACTGACTTTTGGTAAGTAGGTTTCTGACCAAAGAAACATTAACATTTAATCCAAAAGTGTGCCTGAAAACCTTTAGGGATTAACAACTAATTATTTCCACATCATTATTCCCATTCACTGCCTATTGGGGCTTTGTATAGTTTTAAAGGTGAAATAATGATGACGATAATTGTGTTGGCATCCAACAACAACTTAACCAGCTGTGCATTAGAACAGTAACTTAGATATTGTTATGACTTTGTTAGGGAAACAATGTTACAAAACTAAAAAAGCCCATCATGACGGATGTGTGATGAAGAACGTTAGGAATGCTGGTGGACATTCACTCACCACTGGTCTTTGAGAATGTCCAGACATATTGCACCTGTGACTGAGCTGATGTTGGGATGCCAGATCTTTGTGATAAACCGCACCTGAGAGATTAAATGGAAACGGGACGAGGAAAATACTTTGTGAATAAGCCAGGTTAGTAGAAAACGTTGGAAGCCAATGTACTCAATGAAAAAGGGTTGTTATCAGAAACATTAATAGTAAAAAGTCCATACCTTGGGCGGATTGAATGGATACGTCTCTGGAATTTTTATTTCTAGTTGATATCTACCCCCTGGAAGAAATGACAATCAATCATGCAACAATCAAGACTAGTTCAAGCATTCGTTTAAGGGAACGCTTGAAAAGCAGGCCACATGTAATAGTTAGTTAGCAAGGCTCTCCTAAAGTAAAGTGATGGTCAGTGACAACCTTGTGCCACAGGTTAGAAATGAGTCTGAATGAGCCCCTCACCTTCATATGGTGTGTCAGGGGGCCCTGCTATCTCCCCTTTAAGTTCTGTGAAGTTCTCATCCACCAGGTCCACCTTTATCTGGTTTTTGCTCGTCTGAAAGAGTTAAAAACGCACACAAAATTAGTATTACAACTTGAGCAGACAGAGAGGCAGACTGCAGAGTGTTCAGCTAGCTGGCTGTCAAACTCAAACCTGCATATGCAGCAGAAGTTGACACCCCCCGCAGCATTAGCCAAAGTTGATCTCAACTTGTTGCACACATCTTACGGATCTACAGAGATAATACGACCTCTCACATACGTGGAGATGAGTATAAGTAGATCTAAGAGAGGACATATGTGAGAGTTGAGCCCTACACGCGGATCAAGAAACCCATCGTTGCTAACACAGCTAGCTTCGTTACCATGGGAGGCAGGAGAAGCTAGCCAGTTAGCAATATTAACTTAAAACTGAATTATTAATGCGTCCATAACCCTATAACATGCTTGCTAACAACAGTGGCGTCCCTGGCGTTAACTTCCCCACAGTGGCATATTAACAGCTAGTGCTAGTAGCCACTTGTGAGTCTGCCGTGTTTGGTACAGTTAGCTCGGGCTAGCAGCTCCGTGATCACAGAGCTGTCAGCCAGCGACGCGTCACTAACAAACATACACCCAGTCAGAGAAATACACAAATAAAGCGGTAACATTAACTGAGGAGTGTGGAAACCTACCTCTTCGCTTTTGAGCACCTCCTTGAATTCACGTTTTATCCTCTGAACTGCGATGTTGGCCATGGTTCCCCGTGTTCCCGTCCGGTTGGGGCCTCGCCGCCGTTAGCTGTCCGCTGGTTCTCCTACAGCAGCTCCTCTTCAGATACCACCTCGAAAATAACAGCTGCTGATGCGATGTTAGTCCCGGTTATCAATGTGCTGCTTTAATTCGTTTAAATAGCTCAACATGTATCCAGCATCTCTCAAATGTATAACAACACAATGGCTGGTTGTACTGAAAACATTTTAATACCAAACTGCATGCAGTCTGGAGGAGAGTGGGTCATGTGATCTGTATTGCCATCCTGAACGCCTTCTCCTATTGGTCGATCTGTTGATGATGAATAATTTACCATTAATAATATTGTTGTTTTCATTATTTAGATTCATGTATTTTATGCTTGACTTCACTGTATTAGACTTTGGAATGCGTATGACAATGATGCGTTGTGTAAAACAACATATGCAATTGGTTTTTAAGGTAAAAATAATAATAGTTTATGTAACAGATAGTTTATGTAACGTCACGCTTTTAAACCTTCATAATATTTTCATATCCATACATCTAAATGTGTAATTTGGCCCTTGATCATGTATATTTGACAAATAGTCTACAGCTATATCACTGTCAATTTGAAAAAAGATCAAGGCTAATGGTTCAAGTTAATTGAGACGTACTGTAGGTTCTTATATGTGTAGCTGCCTCCTACTTTAATGTAGACTGATCCACTGGTGCATAGTCACCACTGGATCCGTTTTGTTGGACAAAAATCCATGAAAATACTCTTCACCTTTTTTTATTTTACCCATATTTAACACAAGAGAGACCCGTGTTTCAGTCAGCACTACAAACTGTGACACTAGGGGGCCTCATTGTCCTGTGGAGAGTTACACAGTCTGCTTCACACAGTAAACATCGTGCGTGGTGTTTGAATAAAGTGGATACCACTTGTAAATCTTTTTTAAAACTTGGTCCTACAAAGATTTGTACAATCCACAATTCATTTAGCTAAACCTATGTAATGTATAATTGGTTCGAGCCCATTCTAGTTTGATCTACTCAATATAATCATCACTGACTCCAAAACAATACTTGAATCATGTCATCCAAATATGTTTTTTACATAATGGAGGTCCCATATGTAAGGTCATTTATTAGGTAAAGCATGTTCTTCCAATTTAAAGATAACTGTAAAACATGTGAGTCAATAAGAGTTGTTTACTTTGCAACAGTATACTGCACGTCGTTTCATTTAAATAATGTTCTATATCTTAGCATATAATAGTATCAATTGTTTTTATTTTATTATTTTGATATTCTTTAACTGTGTTTATGTACGCGCAATGTACACTAGTACCCACCAAGACAAATTCCTCGTATGTGTTAACATACTTGGCAATAAACATGTTTCTGATTTCTGAAGAGTCTTTAGCGTTGATTACATTTAACTCATTTAACATTTATCCCAATTTTCCTCCATGTTAACCCTGAACTTGACAGTATTTGTCAGTAAACTGATCACACATTTGTCACGCACACATAAATAATTGATACATTATCATTGTTCTTCTCTGTCAATGAGCCGCACACATTTCGTCTGCTACACATTAGAGAACCAATGTTTCTACTTTAGCACTTCAGTGGTGGACACAAGCATACAGGGACTCCTTCTATTTTTCTCCTCCTTTTCACCCCTCTCCTCCTGCCTTGTGTCTGGTTTCTTTTAGTGCAGATTACAAAGATGACCAGTGTTGCCAACATTACAGCTGTTATTAAGATGCAACCTCCGAAGACCGATATCGCTTTGTTCTTGAACATCCATCCACAAACTGAGCAAGGTTCATGCAGCTCGCTTAGCCTGCAGGTCTTCATGGTGTCATCCTCAGGGAAACCGCCACGAGTGATGATGTTGTTGTACACAGCGATGGAGGCTTTGGCCTTGGATTTGTGGTGGGTTGAGGTGAAGAGGCCGAACTGTGGGCCATGTCCATCTTGCAGTTTCCAAACGTAGAAGCCCTGAAGATTGACTTTGTCTAATTGGCGAGCTGGAGACAAATAATAACAGAGAAAATGTAGATTAGAAACCCTCATCAAATGTCCAATTGTTCTTCCTCTTGGAGCTATATAATAACCCAAATTACTTTATTTTAGCGTCACTTACAACCCCTTATGTGCTTGACATTAGTACAACATAAAGGCACTTTTATTAAAACTTTACTTACGTAGAAGATTCAGATTAATAACAACAAATAAATGATCGTGTGTTATTATATGATTTGACCCTATGGTGAAATTCAGAACCTACGTTGCAGTATATATTGTTAAAAATCTGGCTCCTCCTTCAGCTGCAACATTAAAGTAATAAACAACTGAAAGCCTAAGATGATTATGATAAAGTAAGATTAGATATATTTGTCTGAAATGGGCCTACTGTATGTGCAGGATGATTTGATGATAATACTGTTGTACTTCAGCTTAGAGTACATTTTTAATGTTTAACTTGTAACTCAGTATTTCCACACGGTGTACTTGTAACTTTAAAAGATCTGAGTATTTCATCCACCTCTGTGTGCAAAACATGTCAGCCATAAAAGGCCATAAAGGGCACAGTGCGAACACAACACTGATCAACACTGTCGCCTATAATGTGTTTCTCTCCCATCCTCCCTCTTTTTATGATCTTCATGTTCTCATTAATCCTGCTTTTATAGTAGGGAGCAATGTGGTCATAACATCTATATTGCCTGTGGATATTTGCCTCTATCACAACATCCTGAATTCACCGGAGGTCCATTTTGTTTCCAATGCAAAGTGATTACGCTCTGGATCAAAGAGGAACACTACTGATGGACATGAAGGATCTGAAATGCATGCCCCACCTTTTAAGGCCTCCTGCAGGTAACTCCTGAGAAAGTGTTGCCTGAGTTTGTCCTCCACAGGAGCCTGGTCATCGACCCCACTGGCTGTGACGATGATGGGCAGAGCCCCTCCATATCTCTGGCTCACCCAGTTCAGGAGCTTCCGCAGACCCCAGGGTACAACAGCCTGCCCCAGACTGGAGGACGGCCAGGTGGGGTCAGTTAGGATGAGACAGCCATGATCAGGGGGTTCTTTCTGCTGAGACTTGCCTTGTGTGTGGGGATATGGAGAAACCAAACGGGTGGTAAAATGGTTCAGTGCGATAAAACTCAATGACCCTCTCAGCTCCTCCCTCTCAGCCTCAGTAAAGCTTGGAAGAGAGGATCCGGGGAGGCCCATTACTCGAGCTCTCTCCTCCAGGTATTCCTTCATTTCTTGTGGGTAGTCCCCCTTGCTATGCTTCTCCTCATGGCTAGTCCCAAGCAACGGGTCTAAAAAGCGACCGAGTTCAAACAAAAGGAATCTCTGAGCTGCGGCTGTGTGTGAGTCCAGGAAGGGGTTTGCAGGCTTGGCCCAGTCGGCGTGCAATGCAAGTGATACCAGAGCTCCATGTTGACTAAAGTGTTCCCTCTCATACAGCCGCCAAGCTTTTGCATGAGCCAGAAGAAGGTTATGAGCTGCCTGATGCTTCTCTTTCTCACTGAAATAAAAATCTACCAGTCTGTTTGGCTCGTTGATGGTGATCCAGTAGGTAACCCAGGGCCCCAGCTGCTGGTAGCACAGTCCTGCATATTTTTGAAAGGCCTCCACTGTGCTGTAGTTTAACCAACCACCAGAGGCATGCAGCGGCCCAGGAATACCCAGGTTTGGAGCTCTGTGTGTGGGGTAGTAGAGAATCACGACAGGCTTCAGGTTCAGCTTCTTGAGCTCGGTCAAGACACAGCGGTAGTACCTTAAAGATGAAGAACAGGATTATAGAATCAGCAGTTACTGTGCGTAGAAAGAAATGTAAAAATGTCATCTTAACATGTATCTGAATCTGGCTAAAATCTATGCTGTACAGTTTTTAATTTAATTGCCTTGTGTTGCTGCATTTTGGAAAACTGCCCATATTTGTGTTTCTACCTCAGAGCTTCAGTGTTCACATTCGAGAGGTCTCCCTGGGGTAAGAGCAGAGACCAGTTTAGAGCAAAGCGGTAGTGAGATGCCCCGGTGGATGCAAACAAGCGGAGATGACCCCGAATAGCCAAGTAGTCAGTGCACTGGGCCCGCCTGGTGGGCATCTTTATCCCCGGGACAGGACGCAGGGATCCGTCCCCTGTCACGTTCCAGGTGTACAATTGGGGGTCGTTGAACTGTGGTGAGAAAGGGTAGGAGAGGACCTATAAAAACAGTAAAGACAGAAAATAATGAAATGTAGCATTTTATAAGCATTTCATTTGCAGAAAGAACACTGTATTGTCTGTTCAGATTCTCTCTCTTCTTACCTGTAAAGTGGAGTCAGCAATGCCCCAGTGGAATTCGCAGGGGAAACGGCCTTTGATATCGCTGGAGGTTTCTTCAATGGGGAAACCATTGTCAGCGATGACACGCCTGTAGTACTGAGCCGAGGTCTTGGGAGTCCTGGGTCGGTCTGATTGGCTGAAGTCGATGTAGAAAAGACCTCGCCTAACACTGAAGCCATAATTCCACTCAAATCCATCCACCAGCGACCAGGCGGAGTAGCCAATCACCTGCACCGCATCAAACTTGATGGCTGCAAATGAAAGAGAATTTGTTTTGCTGACTTAGTTAAGTGTAATGTATGTTGTCAACCTTTACAACTCAAATGCACATTTGAAAAATGATTTGAAAATATTTCATTTTAGATTTTATATTCCCAAAATAACTAACACAAACATTGATATACACACTAGTGTTCATAGCCAAGTTTTAAAAGCAATGATGTTTTACTTTATGTGCACCAATTCTGTAAATCTGAGAGCATGTTGTTTATTAAATAATATGTTGGTTAGTTCATGGTCATCAGCTTCATTACATTGTTTTTTATTATGTCCTTCTTTTCTTCTCTTACCCTGCAGGACCTGGTTGATAAACCTCTTGGTCAGGTAAATGGCCACCGTGTCCTCCTTTCCCACACTGGCTTCAGTGAACCAGCCTCCCTCTGTCACCAGCACTGCCGGGTCCCCATACTCCAGCTGTATCCAGCCCAGAATGCGCATCAGGTCCGGGGTCACAGTTTGCCCGTACTGGACCAGGCTCCGGCCCAGACGGAGGTTGTTCGGCCCGAAGGACAGAGCAAAGAAGTCGGCTGTTCCCTGCACCCAGAGCTTCTCCTCAGGGGAGAATGTGGGCAAGAGGGCCCCATACTTGATGTTTAAAGAGAGTGGATAGTCCCCATCGCTGAAGATGGGGTTGGCAAACCAGCCGAGTACAGCCT